GGAGCAGGGGATACTCTCAGTGTGGTGTGGGCTTGAACCCTGCATCTGGGGGTAGAAATAAGAATTTCCTTTTCTTCATCACCCAGACCTGCATGGCCTTGGGAGGGTTTAAGGGACAGGTCCATTGTCACCTCCTTTAAATTATCAACTATTTCTACATCCAGAACCTGTGAGATTCAGCTGTCCAGTCAGACCTTGGGGAAGGGTGAGAGAAAAGGAAGGTGTCCCCCCCACCCCAACTCTGCCCAGCGCTCATCACTGTCAGACCTACCAGAGCTGGGGGTGGAGGGACTGGGGGCAGCCTGGGTTCCTGTCTCCCTCTCTATGCCTCAGTCTCCCCACTTCCTTGGTGGTGTGGGGGGAGCGCCACTCCTAATCTACCTCGTTTAGGGAGGGGGGATGGGGAGCAGAGTAGCGTACAGTGCTGTGGGATCGTTTTATGAAGCAGTGGGGACCAGGGGAAGTGCACCCCCAGCACCCACCTCCCAGGAGCATCAGGTCTCCCAGTCCTGCTTCTGCTGATACCCATCTCTGATCCATGATTACCCTCCACTGCCCCCAAGTCAGGTGCATGCAGAAACAACCCTGGGAGCCAGGAAGACCTGACCTTGGAGCCCTGGGGCCCACTTTCCCAGCTGCTTGCCCCTCGGATTGCATGTTCAGCCCCCAGACTTGGAGGAGGGGAGGCACCCCAATATATATCTTCCTCATCTTGATGATTCTGAGTCAGTCTGTGACCTCAATACTGTTATGGCCAAGTGAGGCTGAAGCGGTAGGGGGAGGATGGGGACCCAAGACTCAGCCTTGTCATCGGGGGAAGAGACACGAGGTATCAGCTCCAGGAAATGTCTGTGACAGACTCGGCCTGTGGTATGTGCCTGGCCATGACCCTCCAGTCAGCTTCCTGATTCTCTTCTCCATATCCCTCAATCCCAAGCAGACCTGCCCCCCGAGTTCTAGCTCAGTCATCAGCACATGCTTTTACAGAGTACCCACTAGGGCCAGGCCAGGCCCTGTTCCAGGTTCTGGGGATAAAGCAGTGAACAGAATAGCCACAAGGAGGAAGGGTATGAACCTCATGAGGAGGACCATCCGTATGTTACATGGTATGTCATGTAAATTACGTGAACTGTTACCCACTCTTAAGGAAAAAAAAAAAGCCAGGGATGGGTAATCTAGACAATTTTAGCTAGGTGGTCAGGGTGGGCTTCATGGAGGAGCTGACATTTTTATAAAAGACCTGAAGGAGGTAAGGGAGTCATGCCTGGGGTGAGAGCGGCCTAGGTAAAGGGAACAACCAGTGCAAGGGCCCTGAGGGAGCAGGTGCCAAAGTCTGAGGAACGTCGAGGGAGCTAGAGTATCTAGAGGGTATTAAGGAAGGTGTACTAGGAGATGAAGGCAGAGGTGTGCCTCACCCTGAGTGAGCTGGAACCATTAGAGGGCGCTGAGCAGGGCAGGGACGTGACCTGACTCAGGTGTTCACAGGTTCCCTGTAGCTGTGTGTGGGGAAACAGATGGCGGGGCACAGGGAGCAAGGAGACGGTGGGTGGGCTGCTGTGATGGGCCTTGGGGAGACAATGGTGGATGCGACCAGGGTGGGCCAGGAGACAGGAGAAGAGCCATCCCATTGCCTTTGGAGGTAGAGTCCACAGATTCAGAGGTAAGATTCTATATAAAAAGTGGAGTCAAGGTTACGACTAGGTTTTGGCATGAACAAACTTTAATGTTTTATTTCCGAAACAAATGCCCCCTGAATGCCAGAGCTGGGGTAGGCGGGGCTGTGGAGGGGCTGGACAAGGGTAGCCCCAGGCCCTGCATCTGAAGAATAAGTTGTGGCCCTGCTGTTCCCAGGCCACCCCCGCTCCCAGTAGAAATGTCTAGGACCTCCTGGGATGGTGCAAATCGTTAGTATGCTTAGCTGCCAATGGAAGGGTGAAGTCCACCCAGAGGCAGCTCGGAAGAAGGGTCTGATGGTCCCCTGATGGACAGTCGGCCATTGCAAACCTTACAGAGCACACTTCTACCCCGACACAACGGGATCGCCAGGAGTCAGAGGTGACCCGATGGCACGTGGTGGTACTGGTATGGGAGACCAGGGCAGAGGAGGGGAGGGAGCAGACCTAGAACGGTAATTTTAACAACAGCTACAAAAATAGCAGTAATAGGTTAAATGTTTGAAAGCTTGGAATTTGGAATCAGATCTAAGTTTGGTCCGGACATGCCACACATTCCCTCTGTGATTTATTCTTTCTGAACCTCACTATTCTCCTCTGTCAAACAAGGATGAGATATTTAAGCCAGTAATACACATGGAATGCTGAATATACCTTAGTTGTAACTGAGTGACCCCACGTGCCTGCTTTTTTTACATACAAAACCCAACCCAACAAGCTGCCATCTAGATGCAACGATGGGTCTCCTCGTCCAGAGCAAAGAAGAAAGAAGAAAACCAAAATTCATGGAAACAATTAGTCCCAGCGACTGGTACACCATCCGATCTGCAGCCTATACAACTATGAGACCAGAAGAACTAGATGGTGCCCGGCTACAACTGTCATCCACTTGGAAGGGGATCTATGTAGGAGATCCTTGATAGGGAGAACGATGTGGAACAAAAGTCAAAATCATTTGGAGGCAAAAAGAAAAGGGGGAGGGACCAGGTGTGCTGGTCCAATAGAGCCTGGTGGAACCACTGAGATTATGGCCCCTACCTGCCCTTCAGGTCTGGAATTGAACCCACATCCGTGGTTTCCGGCCAAACAAAAGACAGGCACATGAGTTGAACATTTACCTCAAGTAGATACTCTCCTTGGAGAGATCATGGGAGAAAGAAGGGCTGCTTACGCACAGGGAGACAGCTCAGGGGGCAGGAGTTCATGGAGGGATGGACACAGGAAAGAGGTAACTGTGGGGAGGAAGTGGGAGGGGAGCTGTTCCATTGTGGTAAACTGTGGTCAATGTCATGAGACAAAGTATATGTGAACTGCTGTATGGAAAGTGAATTTGCTCTGTAAAGCTTCACCCAAATCACAATAAAAATAAAAATAAAATAATAATAATGATAAAAAAACCAACCCAACCCAACCCACTGCCAAGTTGATTCTGACTCATATCAACCCCCATTAGGTTTCCACGGCTATAAATCTTTATGGAAGTGCATTGCCTCATCTTTCTCCCGTGGACCAGCCAGTGGGTTTGAATTGGTGACTTACTGGTTAGCAGCCAAATGCCTTTCCCACTGTGCTACTAGAGCTCCTCATTTTTATATAGGAGACTCAGAAACAACACACAGAGGTAGGTATTACAAGTTCCCCTGCAATCCCAGGGTTCCTGTGAAAGCTTCGTAAGCTGAAGTGGCGTGAAGCAAAGACGCAGTTACCATTATGTGGGAATGGTTTTTGAGCGTTTGCAGACGCAAACAATAACCTACCCAATAGCCTAAAACAACACTAACATCTAGTGTTCACAGACAGTTTAAAGGTAAGGAGTGCAGTTCACGGGGAAGGAGCCTGGCCACACCACTCTTGCTGTGCAGAGCTCTGACGTCCCTTTAACAGCTGGCTCCAAAACAAACTATGAATGTTACTTCAGCTTTTTGCCTTTTTCCCTGAAAGTGACAATCCTCTTCTTTTGGTCAGTGAAAACAAAGTAGGGCGTTGTAAAAACCAAATGGTGTAGCCACCCATGCAGAAAGTGATCAAAATTGGAGGTCCTAGTTAGAGGGTTAGAGTGGGAAGAAAATGTGAAACAAAATTCAAAAACACAAAAATGACCAGAATTACTAATGGGCTAGAGACTGGTGGGACCCTGAAGACTGGACCCGGGTTATCCTTCAGGCCTAGAAATGGACTTACTTCCGTGGACTGGCTCTCAGCTCAACAGCAGAAAGACCTACACACGGAACACCTACCGGAGGGAGATGCACCCCTTAAATCAGTCAACCAGGAGATACCACAGGGGTAGCATTCACACTGAGGAAAAGCTGGACAGACAGGAATACAGAGATAAGAAGGGCTCGGGGAGGGGGAGGTCAGGCAGGAGAGGGCAGAGAGGTTTTTGGGTTGGGGATTGTAGTAACAAACCAAACTCACTGCCGTGAGTCGGATACGACTCATAGCGACACCTCCTTGGGTTTCTGAGGCGGTGTCACTAGGGCAGTAGATAGCCCAATCATCCTTCTGAGGAGTGGCTGGTGGGTTTGAACTGCCAGCCTTCTGGTTAGCAGTCAAATGTGCATGAACTGTTGAATGTAAAATAAATCTGCTTTGCAAATTTGCACTCAAAGCACAATAAAATAAAAAGTGAGTGGCATAAATCAAACTTTCAAAAAGCAGGGAACACTTAATTATCCTCATTATATAGATGGGAAAGCAGTTTGGCCCAAACACAGGTGGTGAATCGTGGATTCAGATCCTGGTCCTCGCTGTCCAATTCCTAGGGCACAGAATATGGCACCTGCTCCCTCTCTCCAAGGCCTAGGGAAGGAGGGAGTGAAGGTCAAATGGGCACATTGTCACTGATGAGAGGACTTAGCTCTGGTGGGGTAGGAGGTGAGTGGTGGATCTCTCCAACACAAGTTTCTGGATTGGGGCAGAGCTAGGGGAACAACACCCGGTCTGTTGTGCTTTAAGAGCAAACGAGGCTGAGGAAAAGCAAACTGAAGTTGCTTTTACGTCGCAACAGTAGCCACACCCCCTGGCCTGTCGTGACAGCCAGGATCTCGAACACACGCTCCGTTAACAACAACGCCGGAGAACATTTCCAGACCCTACACAGGTTACTCCAAGGGCACCGCTCTAGGTTTCCGCGCCAGCCGACTTGGGGACTGGCTCTGCAGTCTCCTACACGAATCGGAAAGCCGAAACCCCTTCGCGAGAAGCAGCTGATTGGCTGGTGCTGCCACATTACGCTACAGGGGGCCGCGTGCGCACGTCGCTCCTGGGGCGGAGCCTCGAGCTGGCCAGCAGGGGGCGCGAGGCTGGCAAGCAGGTGACGCTCTCATGGAGGGGGCAGAGGCGGAAGGGCGGGAAGGGGCCGCCTTGGCCCAGGACCTGCAGGCTTTAGGGTAAGGGCGTGTGGCTGGAGGATGTGGGATATTGCCCTCAGGACCTGGACAGAGAGGGATTCTCGCTGACCTCCTCCCACTGCTTCGGCCTTGCCGCAGATATGGGAGTTTCCTGGAGGCGGCGTCGCGGGGCACTTTGTGCCCAGACTTCAGGGCACTGTGCATGCGGCTGGTGGCGGAGCTGGCGGCTCTGGGCGCCTTGAAGCAGGGGCATGAAGAGGGCGCCGAGGCGCCGAGTGTCGGCGACGGTACGTACAGACCGGGTGGATCGGAGGGGTGGAACGCTGGGCTGGGCCGCCATCGCAGCGCCCTGACGTCTCCCTCGTCTTGCAGGCCTCAGCGCGGAGGAAGAATTCCTACGAGAGTTAAGAAGCCAGTTGCGCGAGCTGCACTGCCCCGACAGCGCGCTGTCCCGCGAAGACTCCGCGGCCGCACTGCGGGAGCCCGGAGCGTGCCTGCGTCTGCTGCGTGAGCGCCTGGCGGACCGGGATGCGGAAAGTGGGCGAGGCTACAGCCTTTTGGGCGGGCGGGCTCAGAATTTTGGGGTGGAGACAAGTTCCCAGCGGGGCGTGGTGAGAATTTGGAAGCGGGCGAGTGGGTCCGAGGTAGGTAAGGTCAGAATATTGGGGCAGGCAAAGGTCTCTGAGATGAACAGGATTAGGATTCTGATGGGAGAGAGGGAGTGGGAACGGGTGTGGTGAAAGTTTGAGCTTTTGGGTTGGACTGGTGGTCAGAAAATGGGTGGGGTTCAAATTTGGAGGCGGGTTCAGGATCCCCAAGTGGGTGGAATTTATTCTGGAGCTAGAACCTGAGTCCTAGGTGGGCGGGACTAGAAGCGGGAAGTTTTGAACACTCAAGTGGGGTTGCACCCAGAAGGGAGGTAAGGAATGGCACGTGCCCTGGGCGCCGCTTGAAGGGGGGGCGGTGCAAATGAGCCATCACCGTTTCCAACTTCTGCTGTGGGAAATCACGCAGTAATTTAAAACTGGTTGCCATAGGCCCTATTTTCCGTAGACACACCTCTGGTTGCACCACATCCCTTCTCTCCCTGTTTTTAGGCTTCCTCTGCTCTGAGCTTCAGGCTGCCCGCCTCCTGCGCCTGCGTCACTCACTGGACCCCAGCCCTGCACAGCTCTTTGGGGAAGGGACAGAGGAGGGAGCTGGCATAGTCCAGGAACTGATCCTTACCCTCCAAGCCCTGGGGCTGCCCAGACCCGCGCTGGGGACCCCTGCCAGCAGGTTGCTGCAGGAGTTGCATGCCAAGGTGGAAAGCCAGAATCTTCACCCTGGCAGCCCTCACTTCCTTGAGGTGGGGGGGAGCTCTTTCCAAAAGCAGCTCCCGCAGGAGTGCTGCAACCACAGGGATGTTTTCCTAGAGCCCTAAGCACTTGCTTCCATATCGCGTACCCTCGGGGCAGTGGGCAGCTGGGGTCCATGGAGGGGTCCATCCTCTTTCTACCCTGGTCAGTCTCTGACTCCTCCCGTCAGATCTCAGAGCTGCTGCCTTGCTTGCCCCCCGAATCCATGCAGCCCCTCCTCAGCTGCCCGCTGGATGCACACAGATGGGTAAGACTGTCTTTGGCTGTGTGCCACCAATGTCCTCACTGAGAGATGAGCAGAAGGGAAAACCTAGTGACTGGGCACTTTTCCCCCAGGAAGCGTTGGAGTCACTGTCCCGAAGCCTGCGAGATCAGTACAGCTGCCGGCGCTGCCTCCTCCTCAGGCGGCTGGACCTCACCACGTCCGCTTTCCACTGGAGCGATCGCTCAGAGGTGTGGGGAAGGCTCCCGTAGGAGCAGGCAGGCCAGGCTGTAGGGGCTGCAGGTGCAGGGAAGAGAACTTAGGGCTGGGAACAGCACTGTTTTTCCTCATAAATGTTCACTCTATATGCTTGTCTGTTGTTGGGCAGGAAGCTCCAGAAGTGAGTTCAATTCCAGACCTGAATAAGGGTCATACTCTTGGGGACCTCATCAGGCTTTAGCAGACCAGTAAACCTGGTCCTTTTTATGATTTTGAGTTTTGTTCCACATTGTTCTTCCACTTTATCCAGGATCTCCTGCACTGACTCCTTTCTGGGTGGTTGATGGTGGTAGTTGGGCACCATCTAATTCTTCTGGTCTCATGGTCATATAGGCTAAGGATCTCATGGTCCACTAGTCCCTTGGACTCATCAGCAACAGCACCTTTCGTGTGTTTTGAGGCCAAAGCCATTTTATAGTCTTGCGGTTGGGGTTTACATAATCTCAGGTCCCCAGTATTCCAGTCACCCCAGTTCTAAGGTAGACATGTTTTCAGAGATACATCCCTTCATTTAGAGATGTGGTGAGTGAGGCCCCAAGTGAAGAAGGGATGCTTCCAAGAAAACAGATCTGACCTGGGGGAGCTCTTGGGTACCACTTCCATTTCCGCCCCCGCCCCAGACTCATGGCGAGGCCATGAGGGCAGTGCTGATCCCAATGCGAGAGGAGCTGACCCCGGAATCACATGTTTCCGTTGCCCACGTCCTGGCTGCCCGAGCTGACCTGTCTCGGCTTGTCCCCGCCACCAGTGTGGCTGCCCGCCGGGGGACCTGCTGTGCCGTCAACAAGGTAGGCACCTGGCAACAAGGAAGGGACCCAGCAACCTTGGCCTTCAATCTGGCCTTTCCGCCTTTGTCCTGGTCCACCCTTGCCCTCTACTGCCCGAGTTCCTGGCTTCTGGACTCAGCTGACCGATTGAACCATTTTTAAAGCAGGAATAATCTTTGTTTAAGTGATTATGTATTTTGTTTCATACCCCTGTCTAACAGTCTTATATTTATGTGAATGATGGTCCACAATTAGGGAATAAAGTTTAGTGCAGCAAAGAGTAAGGTAAAATTTAACTTAAGAAAAAATTGATTTTTTTAAGGAAAAATTAAGTCAGTAATATTACACATGGTGCATAAATGATCATTAGAAAGAAACACTGGTCTGCTGTAAATGTTACACAAAGCCCCAAATACGAAATAGACAAAGTCGAGGTGCTCTTTTAATACTGGGGGGGGGGACTGGGGCCTCTGCTGCCAATCTCCCCCTTATTTCATTCTTGCTGAAGCCCCTGGAGCCCAGTTTGAAAGCCTCTGCCCTGTGTCTTCCACAAACCCCATCCCTCCTCACAGCCACTGAACCCAAATCGTAAACCTTTGCCCTTCCTTTTTCAACCTTATGCTGTTCCCTTCGCTCTCTGGCCCCTTTGCCCAAGATATTTTTCTTCTCTGAAACGCAATTCTAATCAACCCACAGGTGCTTATGGGCAACGTGCCAGACCGGGGCGGCCGTCCAAATGAGCTGGAGGCCCCCATGCCCAGCTGGCAGAGCCGAAGAGAGGGTGGAGACAGGCGGAAAGCAGGCCGCCAGCGCTGGGGCCACAAGAAGAAGAAGTGAAGGGGGCTGGGGGGGGGCTCCTCCATGAGGTGCTGATGGCGTCAAGGAGTATCTTTGGGGAGTCGGTGTGAGGGTTCCCTTAGCATCCGGCACCCAGACCCTCCAATCCTCTGTTCTGGGGTCCCAAATGTCCTCCTACCCCATTCACCACTTAACACCAAGGGCCATGTCCTTTGGAAAATAAATTTAATTTATGACACTTGTAGGACTTCTCTCTGTGGGGGCCAGGTCAGGGGCATTCAAGTTTGGGGAGGAGTAGGGGGTCTCTGTCCCTTGAGTCTGTTCCTGCTTTTCTGACTTGCAGAGTCCTGTGCTCTTCAGCATCCCATCTTGTCCTTCCTGTGGACATGGGGCAAGAGACATTCAGGCATCAGACAAACATTGATCAGGCACCCACCATGGGCCAGCACTGTTCAGGCACTGGAGGTACAGCCCTGGAAGAGGCAGATTAAAAATCTCTGTTTTCTTGGGCCTGGTGAGGAAGGGCAAACATTAAGAAGATAAATAGGTAACATGGCTATAGTTTTCCAGATGGAGAAAACGATTAACAGAGAAAAATAAAGGTGAGAGATGGGATCGGTGTTGTAGGGATTGCAACTTTGGACATGTGGTCAGGGGAGGCTTCACTGAGAAGAGGGACCCTGAGCAAAGCCCCAAAGAGGGAGGCTTGTGGGTCTCTGGGGAACCAGGCAAAGGGAACAGCCAATGCAGTGGCTCTGAGGTAGGAGTGTATCTGGCATGTTCACGAACACTGAGGAGGCCAGTGTGGCTCGAGGTGGGGGCAGGCAGTGCAAGGTGAGGCCAGAGAGGCGAGCGGGCAGATCAGGGGACCTGCTGGGCCATGGTGAGCACTCTAGGTGAGATGGAGCCCTGGGAGGGCTTCTGAGCAGAGGAACAGGATCTGACTCGGGTGTTTACAGGGTCATCGCACCCCGCTTTCTAGCCGCCACCTCTCCCCTCTCCGGAACCCAGAGGTTGGGCCTCTGCCCACCCTATCACTGTCATCCTGATCATTCTGATTGTCAGCTTCAAATATTTGGTAGGTGCTTCGATTTTAGAGGCAGACAGGAGACCTGAATTTGAGTCCTGCCTCCAACACTGAGGAGCTATGCCCCCTTGGGCAAGCAGCTTAACCTCACTGAGCCTTAGTTTCGTCATCTGTAAGATGGAGATTATAAGGAGCCGGTGAGATGATGCCTGTGACTAAACATATCTAACACGGAGCTGTGCCATCGCTCAGTGGTCAGGAAAAGCAGGCATGATTAATGGCCGCCATTAAGCAAAAGAAGAAAATAACTCTGTCTTGGACTGCAAGTGGGTGGGAAGGAGGCAGGGCATCTGGGAGTGCTGCCGGGGGCAGAATAACAGGACGTGGTGACTGACTTTGTGAGCATGAGGGTGACAGGAGAGACCAAGACAGTGTCTATGAATTCAGCTTCAGAGATGGGCTGGGAGGTGGCCTAGGGCCATCACGGGGAAAGGGACCTCCCAGGAAAGAGGAAGACACGGAGTGATGCAGGGGTGTAAGGTGCTGGGAGCAGTGCCATACCCAGAGTTTGCCTGAGTGGATGAATCAATGTCCCCTGTAGACCTTTTTTTTTTTTTTTTTTTTTTCCTAAATCCTGGCTGAGTCTCTACCTTTGAATAGAATTTATTCCACTAATACTGTAGCTCCTGATATTTTGGCCTTAATCTTGCCATCTTAATATATATTTTTTTCTCTCCCTGAATCCTTTTTCTGTTTTCTGGCTACCCATAACTTTCTTATTTTTCTGTCATCATTAAAAATTAGCCAGTATCTATATCCTTCACATCACCCAAGCAACTTGAGAACTTACGTCCATTTTTACTTGCCTAGGCTTCCTGAAATCTATCTGCTTTTGCCTAGGGAAATGGCCCGGTCTCCCCTGCATCCAGCTGGGACAGGGGGCAATTCCTCCTCACCATCTCCTGGTCCCAGGAAGGGGGTGGGGGCTCCGTCTGGGTCCAAGCATGGCAAAGGTGGGGCTCAGCTTCCGAGTCCAGGGATAGCACCTCAGGGAGATTTTCCTCAGACCCTGTGTGTGGGACGATGGGTAGAAGGGACATGGGGGTGGATGGGAAGGACTCATGACCTGGGGATTTATGCCCATTCACCGGGCCCCCCGCCAAGTTTCCCACAGCCTGGTCTTACCAGGGCTGGCATGGGGAGCAGGCCTGGACAGGGCAGGGGCTCCGGGGGGGCCTGTGTCGCCCTTGGCCCCGGGCCTCTTCTTACACTCCATGTTCACTCGGTCTTTGCAGTGTTTGTGACAGCACAGCCCACAGTCTGAGGGAAGGTCAGCAGTTCACGGCCAGGCACCGGATCTGCGCCCTCCTGTTCTTCCACCCTACAAGTCCCGGGTTCCCACCCCTCGCCGATGCCCCACTCACCCCGACAGCGGTAGCCTTGCTTGGTTACACCCCAGAGCTGGGAAGAGAAAGCAGAGGATGTTACCAAGGCTGCCCAGAGGGAGGGCTGTAGATTGGATGGATGTCTCCCTACAAACCACAGAGATGGTATGGAAACCTTCCAGTTTGGGAAATTCCCCAAGACCCTATAGAAGGTTAACTCAAAAAAACAAACTCACTGCCGTCGAATCAAGTCGATTGGACTCATAGCACCCCTCCTTGGGTTTCCGAGGCAGTATCTCTACGGAAGTGGATCATCCAACCTTCCTTCTGAGGAGTGGCTGGTGGGTTTGAACTGCCAGCCTTCTGGTTAGCAGTCAGATGCCTTAGGCACTATGCTACCAGAGTTCCCAAAGGTTAACTAGGATTGAGAAATTAAAGGTATTTGGAGGTAACCTGAAGTTTGGGGGATTAGCTAGGGCTTTAGAGTTAAGTAAATTTGGAAATTAATAAAATGTGAATTCAGTGAACAGGGATTACGTCTGTCCTATTTCCTGCTGTATTCCCAGAGCCTAGAACTGTGCCTGGCACATAGCAGGTGCTCAGTCAGTATTTGGCGAATGAATAAATGAGTTTGGGAAGAAATCCAGGGTCTGTGAATCAGTCTTGGTTTGGAGACTGAGCAATTTGTCCATTACCCAGTTTGAGGACACCTTGAATTTGGAAATGATCCCGGGTCTGAGGGATCTGGAGTTGAGTGGAGATTGACTCTGGAGATAATCCACCCAGGTCTGTAGATGATGCAGGGTTTTAGATATTCATGCTTTAGAGAAGATCTAGAATTTGGGGATTATCCAGTGGTTAGGGTCTGTATGAAATCTGGGGACTAAGTGAGTCTGGAGGACTGTCTGGAATTATCTGGGGTTTGGCAACTCCAGGGTGAGGCTGGTTTTCTGGGCCTAGGCTGGGAGCAGTTGGGATGCTGCAGGGGCGGTGCCCTGAGGACAGGAGTGGGGCAGAACGCTTACAAAGCCGCTGCAGCTGTTACAGAAGGCGGGCTTGCGGAAGGTGACCTCATGGAAGGTATGCAGGAAGGCCAGGCCCAGCTTGGAGCAGATGGCACTGGCTCGAAGTAGGTAGCCTGTCAGCTCCTCTCGGCTGAAAGAGCCATGCCTGAGGGCAGAAACGGCACTTCAGCAAGGTTGGCCCCTTTCTTCCAGGTCCAGGAGTCCAAGCTCCCGGCCTCCTCCTCCCTCAGGCCCAGGAGTCCAGGGCCCGGGCACTCTCTTTCCTCAGATCCAGGAGTCTGAGCCCCTAGCCTCCTTCTCCCTCAGACCCAGAAGTCCAGGCCTCCAACCCATTTCTCCCAGACCCAGGAGTGTGGGCCCCTGGCTCCCTCCTCCCTCAGATCCAGGAGTCTTGAGTCCCAGCCCCTCCTCCCTCAGACCCTAAACCCCCAGCCCCTTACTCCCTCATACCCAGGAGTCCAGGCCTCCAGCCTCCTCTTCCCTCAGACCCAGGAGTCTAAGCCTTTCTCCCAGACCCAGGAGTCTGGGTTCCTGGCCCCCTCTGCCCTCATAGCCAAAAGTCTCAGTCCCTGACCTCCTCTGCTCTCAGATCTAGGGAGTCCGGGCCCTTCGCCCCCTTTTCCCTCAGGTCCAGTAGTCCAGACATCCCTATTATCTTCATCTTTGGGGGCCCGGGAGTCAGGACCACTCACCCCTGGCTGGGGGGTGGGTGCAGCCCATGACAGGCGAAGGGAAAGTTGCCTGAGAGTCGCTCAAAGTCCTCCTGGGAGATGGTTCCTCGGCCTTCAGGGTCATAGTTCTTGAACACAGACTTTGGAGGAGTGTGGGAAGTGGAAAACAAGGTCAGGTTGTCCATGTGTGACCCCTTTCCCGGGGTCAGTGGCCCCCAGCAGCCATGGTACCCTCCTTACCTCCACCAGCTGCTCCACATGCCGGCCCAAGGTGACCCTGTCAGGCTTGGGCGTCACACCAGGGGCCCACTCCACCACCAGGGGTGCTTTGAACGGGGAGGGTGGCTGGGGCGGGGACAGAGGGGCACAGTTAGTCAGGGCACAGGCTCAAGCTGGCGGAGGTCAAGGACTGGTTCTTACCAGACTCTTGGGACAGCGGGGCTCCCGGGCGTAAGAGAGGTCGTAGATCTCATCCTCCGTGTAGAAGAGATCCAGGGAAAGCTAGGGGTGGACAGGGGCATCACAGACCCTTTGCTGCCTCCATCCTCCTCCCACTCCCATCTACCGCCTGCCTCTGTGCCTGAACCCCCACTCCCCAGCCCCTTCCCTGGGAACCCCAGGGTCTCCTGCCCACCAAGCCCCATTCACCCTCCATACTGTCCCTTCCCCCTTTTCCAGAAGGGCCATCTGACCACTGAGCATCTTTTTAACCTCTTTATTTAAAACTGGAGTCCCTGGGTGGTGAAGACAGTTCATGTGCTTGGCTGCTGACCGAGGGCTTGGTGGGTGGTCAGCGTCCACCCAGAGGTGCCCAGAGGAAAGGCCTGGCAGCCACTGAAAAGCCCACTGAGCTCGGGTCCAGTCACACACACTGGGCCACCTCAAGTTGGGAAGGATTTGCTGACAGCTTTTTTTTTTTTTCATTTAAAACTGCAACGCTCCTGTCATTTCCTGTGCTGTTCTCTACTTTGTTTTTCTCCATAGCAGAGCACATGACTGACTTACTCCTTTGTTGTATTGGCTGTCTCCCCCACTAGAAAGTCAGCCCCACCGAGCAGCATTTCTTTTTCTTTTCCTTCTGTTTTGCTCACTGCTGTGTCCTCTGTGCCTAGTACCTGGCACACAACAGGCACTCAAGAAATACTTGGGCTAATGGCCTGTTACGGCTTGAAACAATTCATATTTTTGTGTCCCCCCAAAATATATGTGTTGTAAATCCTAACCCTGTGCCTGTGGTTATAATCCCATTTGGGAATGGGTTTTGTTTGTTATGTTAATGAGACAGTATCAGTGTAGGGTGTGTCCTGAGTTAATCTCTTCTGAGATATAAAAGAGATTAAACAAGCAGATAGGCACAGCTGGGGGAAGACATGCCATGCCATGTGGAGGTCTCCAGGGAACCAAGAAACAAGCAGATGAGATAAGGACATTTTCCTTTAGCAGACACACACAGAGAGAGGCACAGAGACAGAGAGAGAGCTTTCCCCTAGACCCAGTGCCCTGAATTCAGACCTTTAGCCTCCTCAAGTATGAGAAGATAAATTTCTGTTTGTTAGAGCCCCTCATTTGTGGTATTTCTGTTATAGCAGCACTGAAAAACTAAGACATAGTCCCTTAGGCCAGCATCACTGGTGTGTGCACTGTTTAATCACACAGGGCCCTGCACTTACAAGGGCCCACACTTCGTGTAATGCCCAGCTGTCATTGTCTTGGTATTTTCATTTTGCACTGGGCGAGCTCTGCAAATTATGTAGCTGGTCATGTCTTTGGCTCTGAAGGTCTTAGACTGTGTGGCTCTTAGAATCCCATCCTAAAAATGATCAGGTTCTGGGGTCTTAAAAGCTTGTGAGTGGCTGTGTAAGTTGCAACTATTGGTCACTCCTCATCTGGAGTAAAGAAGAGTGAAGAAAATCAAAGATGCAAGGAAACAGTTAGTCCAATGGACTAATGGACCATGCGAACCCCAGCCTCCATGACCCTGAGACCAGAATAAATAGATGGTACCCAGCTACCACTCCTGACTGCTCTGAAAGGGATCACATTAGAAGGTCCTGGATTGAGGGGAAGAATAAATGTGGAACAAAAGTCAAAATCATTACCAACAATAAATAAATAAATAAATAGCCTTACTGGTCAGAAAGAGACTGGTGGAACCCCTGAGACTGTGGTCCTCGGTCACCCTTTGGACCTGAAACTGAACTCACTCCCATAGCTGAGTTCTCAGTCAAACAACACACAGGTCCACGAGGTGGACAACAACTCTAGGAAGGTACACACTCCTTAGAACAATCAGCCATTTGAAAAGGAAAGGGCAGCATTTGTCCGAGGACAAAGTCAGAAGACAGGAAGGTTAGGAGACAAGGAGGAAACACAGAAACACAGGGAAGAAATGGGAGGAGTGATGTTACATTGAAGGATTGCAATCAATGACATGAAAAAAAATGTGTGAATTGTACAGTTTCACCCAAATCTCAAAAAGAAAAAAAACCCAGTCAGGTAAATCATAGCTGCAATCCCACACTCACAGGGTCTTAGAACGTAATGTGGTGATTAATACGTGTTGATACCCGGATTCTGAAGCTGGCCTGCTTGAGTTCAAATCCTGGTTTCACTGCTGTGAGCCTCAGTCTCCCAAGCTGTAGAATGGACACCACAAGGGTCCCCACCTCATAGGATTGTAGGGATGGGATGAGGTAATCTACGGAGCAGGTTTAACATGGTGCCTGGCACTTCATGAGTGACCAGTAATTTAATAGTGTTTTGCTTAGATGCCTAGATTTCTGAAAGCTCAGAATTGTGGACTAGCGGTACCAGAAGCTCAGAATTGTGGACTAGCGGCACAAGAAGCTCAGAACCTTGGCGTCCAGGAATGTGAAAGCCCAAGCAGCCTGCGGGCTCAGCTCTGGAGCTTGAGACCCTGGATGAACGGTGATCAGGGCAAATAATGCATCACTTACATAGAACACAGGGAGCTCTGGCATCTGACTACTAACCAGAAGGTTGGCGGTTCAAACCCACCAGCCACTCCTCAGAAGGAAGATGGGGCAATCTACTTCCATTAAGATTTACCAGCTGGGAAACTCAAAGGGGGTTGCTATGAGTTGGAATTGACTAGATGGCAGTGGGTTTTGGTTTTGGTTTACATAGAACGCACCGTGTTCAGATACTATTTTAAGAACTTTATAGAAGTTATATTATTGATTCTTCTCAACAACGCTGTGAAGTGGGTCCCATTATTGTTCCCATTTTGCAGATCAAACTGAGGCTGGGAGGTCAAGTGCTTTGCATGGAAAAGGCCTAGAGGCTCTGGCATGCCCGCACCATTCTGCCCTGGCCCTGCTGATGCTGCAGGCTTGGCCTCCAGCCTGCGTGGGACAGGGCTGCTTACCGTGAGCAGGTGCAGCAGGTCCTCGTTGGCGCTGCAGGGCGGCTGCTGCTCCTGGAGGGCTGCCAGCTCCTGCAGCCGCAGGTAGAGGCTGTTGAGTTTGGGCAGGTGCAGGCGGCCATCGGGCAGCCTGTCGGGATGGGCCTCGTGCAGGGACACCAGGTCCTTGAGGTGCACGCCCAGTACAGGCAGCCGGAAGCCTGTGCAGCTGGCCCACGTGCGGCGGTAGCGGGCGTAGTTGTTGTGGGCGGCAAGGAGCTCTGTCAGCTCCAGTAGGATCTGTGGGGGTGGGGTGGAGGGGGACATTACAGGGGGACATGTTACTGGGAGTGGCTTCTGTTCCCTGCTAGTATCCCAGCAGCCTCCTGTGTGGGACCCAGACCCCACAGACCCAGAGGTCTTCTGGACACCTTCCCAAGCCCCTTTGGGTCTCTGTCTGGTCTCGGGTCTCCCCCAATGGCTCCTCCTCTTGGGTTTCCTCAGGGAGACCCAATATCCACCATCCCCCAGGCTAGAGTTCTGGGCCTCGGCCAGGACTCCACTCCCTGCGCTCACACACACCCACCCAACCAGCCACCGGCCAGCCAGCGTACCAGTCCCCACGGCCTACCTCCTCAGCCTCCCTAGTATCTCTCCTGCCTGCCCCCTCCTTCCTACCCCCTGGCCCAGTCCTGTCTTCTGCTCAGTCCCTGCTCCTGCCTCCCCTCTGGGGTCCCAGCCTTCAGTTGTACCCTCTTCAGTCCACTCTCTACACCACCCACCAGAGCAGTTTTTCAAAAACTCAAATCTGATCTTGGGGGCCACTATCAATCCCCAAACTTCCCTAGCTCCCCCTTGCCCTCTGGATAAAAGCCTAGACACTTTAGCAGAGTTTGTAAAACCCAACAGGATCTGCCCCTTCACACCTCCAGCCTAATTTCTTGCCACTTCCTGACTAGCCACACAGCAGACTCATGGGTGACACACTTTTCCCAGACACTTCCCAGGACATCCCCAATCCATGTCCCTCTTTTTAGTGGCCCAGATGCTGGAGTTTTGGGTGGGTGCTTTTGCTTCCTCTCTGGACTGCAAGGTTCCTGCTAGCATCCCCCTCATCTCCTGTCTGCCTCACAGTTCACCTTGGTGCTGTCTGGGCTCAGGTGGGCGTGGGAGTCCTTGAGTCTGGAGATGGCACTATGACACAGGCCCCCAGTGACCGCCATCAGCGTGTTGAAATTCTGCAGCTGGTGAAGCTTCTAGAAAGGGAAGGATTGGGAGCTCAAATGAGAGTGTCCCTGTGGAGTACGGGACACAGACATGTGTGGTGTGGGCCATGTGGCCACCAGACAACTGAGGAAAAGTGGGCGTAGCAAGCAGACATGAGCCACAGAAGTGTGGAAAGACAGGCAAGTACAGGTACTAAGGTGTGAGGTCCAGGTAACGGTGTCAGAGAAGTGTATGTGGGGGTTCAGACAGACGTCCCTGCCAGACAGGCACCTGGGGGTTCAGACTGCTGGGAGAGTCCGACAAATGAGGGGAGCTGAGAAGGTGTGGGCTCTGGCCAGAGTGTAGAGCCGCCCAGAGGTGAAAGGGGCCCGACTGATGTGAGGACCACCCCTCACCTTCCTTTTCCCTAAGTTTAAAGGGAGGAGGTCGCTGTAGGGCCTGGGAAGAGCGGAAAGGGCTCAGACCTAAAAGACCCCAGGCAGAAGCCACAACCCCCAGGGCTAAAGGCCCAGCAGGAGGAAGCAAGGGGATTGAGCGGCCAGAGGAAGGGCGTGGCCTGCGAGGAAATACGTAAGGGGGCGTGATCACGATGGAGGAAGGAGGGCTTCCCTTTTCCCCAGAAGCCAGACAAGGTATCCGGAAGGGGGCAGGAAAACGCATGACTCAACGGGCAGGAACTTAGGAGGGACGTGACGGGATGGGGAGTGATATGATCATTGTTCTGGTGGGCTAGGCACTGGGGATCGGAGCCTCGGTGGAGAATTGCGCAAAGGTGGAGGGTCGCTTTCACAGCCCTGGAGACACAGCATTCGGAGATAAGCTTCAGGAGAGTTGGGAGATGGGTCGGGAGGACGCCGCCAGCTGCAAAGGCTAGTGCCAAGGGGCGGGGCCTGAGTGAGATTGATGCCATGGTAACAAGGGCAAGGAAGAATTGCTGTCACAGTTCCGGGAATAGAACTCAGACTGGAGCCTCGGGGGCGGGTCCCGGGTGGGGCGAGATGTGAGGGGGCGGGGCCTTGTGGGGTCGAGGGCGTGGCTGCCTAGGCGAGGATGGAACGCGGAGCATAGAGAAACTGAGCTGTGGGGTGTGCACCCTTGCGGGATAAGCGGCCGGAAATCAAGCAGAATGATGCCTCACCTGTGCCACGTGGATGAACTTGTCCAGCACCTGCGCGCGCTGCGCAGGCCCGGGCCGGCTTAGTACCATGACTTGCACCCAGCGGGACACACTGTTGCTGAGGCCTACAGAACCCTCCAGAGCCGGGCAGCCCCGCACGGAGCCCTGCAAAACGTAGCTCCGCAGGTCCTGGGGCTGGGGGCGAAGGGAGCGTCAGGGTGGGCCACGGCACTCAGACCCTGCCCCCCACATTCCCATGCGTCTAGCAGTCTAGCAGTCACAACCTCCTGGCCTAGCCTCAGTGACCTTTGTCACCTTGTCTCCCTGCCCCCAGGCTGCCACACTAAACCAAAACCAAACCTACTGCCATCCAGTGGATTTTGGCTTATAGCTACCCTATAGGACAGAGTAGAACTGCCCCACAGGGTTTCCAAAGCTTTAAATCTTTACGAAAGCAGACTGCCTCATCTTTCTCCCACAGAGAGGCTGGTGGGTTTGAACCACACACCTTTTGGTTAGCAGACCATTGCTTTAACCACAGCACCACCAGAGTTTCCTCAGACTGCCACAAGCAGCCCCCAGATTCCCCGAAAAAGACAATTGGTGTATTTTTTTTTTTTTGCAATTAGACCAATGTATTTTTTTTTTTTTTAATTGTGATTTGGGTGAAGTTTACAGAGCAAATTCACTTTCCATACAGCAGATCACATATACTTTGTTTCATGTCATTGACCACAGTTTACCCAATTGGTGTATTTTTAAAAAATTGTTTTGAAGATTTTAATGGAACTAAAAAAGTCAAACCAGTTGCCATGGAGTCTGTTCTGACTCAAGGCAACGTGTGCCTGTCAGAGTAGAACCGTGCTCCGTGAGGTTTTCAATGGTGGATTCTTTAGAAGTGGATCACTAGCCCTTTACTTCAAGGCATCTCTGGGTGGATGCTATTATGAAGCCAGGCCCTGTTCTGATTCTGTCGCCATAGTAACTAATTTAACTATAACTCTATATGATGGGTACTATTATCATTGTCTCCATTTTACAGATGAGGCAATTGAGGCATAGAGAGGCTAAGTACTTTGACTAAGGTCACACAGGTGTAAACTGCTGCTCTTAACTGTACACCTGACTGGCATACAGTCAGCACAGTAAAGGATGGCAAAGAATGTCTGTTTTGCTGAAGGGAAAAGAGCACAGGGTTTCACCTTCCACACCCACGTCTCAGCTCCTGTCCGCTCAGCTTTCAAAATGCTTCCAGAACTTGTCTACTTCTCCCTCCTCTGCCCCCACCCTGGTCTTCTTGTCAATCATCTTCTCCTGCCAGAACTCACAGCAACCTCCTCTGGGCCCCCCACTCCCTCTCTGCCCTCTACAATCTCTTCTCCACTTGCAGCCGGAGGGAACCTGTGAACACCAGGTCAGATCTACTCAGAACTCCCCATCTTACTCAGAATGAAAACTAACGTCCTCCCTGCAGCCCACAAGGCTCTTATGATCTGTTCCTTGCTGCCTCTCTGATATGTCCTCCCACGCTCCCACTTGTCTCACTCTCTTCTTGCAATTTGCAACACTAACTCGAGCACCCTGCCCAGGTCTGGTGTGTCTCCCGATTCACGCATCTCTCTACCTTTTAATAAAACGCTTTGCTTTCACTTCTAACAGAGCGTAAGATTGGCACTTCACTGTTACGATGTTATACACATGCACACTGATTATATTATGTATATGTATATGCCATTGATTCACCTGGTTCATCTATCCCTCCTCCAGCTAAATCGTCAGCCTTATGAGGGCAGGAATTTGTTTTGTTCACTAACCCCATTTCCTGGCACATGTCGGTACACAATAAATGCTGAATAAATGAATAATTCCTAAAAGATTTTGAACACTGCCTTGTGCCGGGCGATGCAATCAACATTTTTGAGCAGACAAATTAACTGAAACTACTAACTACCCCGTGAAGTATTATGACCATTTTACAGACGAGAGAACTAAGTCCCAGAGGAGATGAGAAACTCTGTGAGAAGCTGTGTGTTCACAGTCACACAGCAGGAAGGGACTGAGTGGGATTTGAACCCAAGGACTCTGTGTTCAGCCAGCTCAACTCATTTTCTTGGACCCTCTAGGGTTTGAGAGCCCTGCCTGACACACATGCAGGAGTCCTCTCAGTCCTGCCTGGCCCCACCATCCCAGTCCGGTCCCAGCCTGGGGGGGGATCCTCACCGTGATAGCCTGGAAAGACCGGAACTCCAGGTAAGTGAGATGCTGAGCCAGCTCCACCGTCTCCAGGTGGTCGAAAAGCAAGGACACTTTGCGCTTTTTGCCCAGGCCTGGGCTGCTCATGGGGGGTGGAGGACCAGGGCCACCGGGGCTCAGGCTGGGGGCAGAGGGGGGCTTAGGGTAGAGGGATTGGGGGGATGTGGAGGGGAAGAGGAGGATGGGGGTCCGGGCAGGGAAGGGGTAGGTGAGGAGGGGCTAACTCACAGATTGGCAGACCCTCTCAGGCTCCTCTGGGCTGAGCCTCCCTCCTGATCCACAGTGGTCCAGAAGCGACCTATAGCCTCTTCTAGTTGGGGCTCTTGGTGCACAGCCTTAGGGTGCTGAGTCAGCCAGTATCTGAGGGTGGTTTGGAGATAGTGCCCTGAGGCTGGAGGGGGCAATGGGGAGATCTCTGGAAGGAGTCTCTTGGGCTAAGGAGGGTCACTAGAGGTATGCAGGGGGTCTCTGGAAGGTCAGGGTTTGGGGGAGCACCAGACTGTGGGGATTGCTCGGAGTAAAACCGGGGTCTCTTATCTGAAGGAAGATGGGACAGCCTACTTCTGTAAGGATTTACAGCCTTGGAAACCCAATGGGGGTCACTATGAGTTGGAATTGACTCGATGGCAGTGAGTTTGGTGTTTTTTTTATTTTTGATCATTGCTTGGGGGATTCTATGGGAGCTATGTGTGTGGGGGTCTCGGAAGTAGGATTGTTGGAAAACAGAATAGGGGGTGTCAACAGCTAGAGGATTCCGGGGGGTGAGAATTTTTGGCGACAGGGTGAAGGATTCTTAGGGGCTAGGCCAGGGGTTCCTGTGGGAAGTGGAGGTTCTGGGGACCAGAGCTGAAGGTCTCTGAGCGCCATGTGGGAGGGGTCCCTAGGAGATGATTGTTCAAGGAGCAGAACTGAAAGGGGCTTTTGGAAGCTGGGGGCTTTCAGAAGTGGGTTTGATAGGAGTCGGGCTAGGGAGGTACATGGGAACTGGGTTAGGTAGTACCTGGGCGGTGCTTTTTGGGGGGCAGGAGGGTGGGGTCTTGGGTCTTGAGAGTGGAGGTCTTGGCTCAGCCCTACCTGACCAGGTGACAGATCTGCAGCCGCCTCAGCTCCTGCGTGTTCCCTGTGGCCTCCTGGTACTTGAGTTTGGTCAAGGGTCTGTTATCCGGCATCCCAGACTTGGCCTTCTCACTCTGCCCCCATCTCTGAGGCTCTTGCAAGCCTGCTCTCCTCCCTCCACCCCCTGCTCACACCCTGGGAGGATATAAGGTCAGCAGACGGGCAGCCAGGTGGGCAGAAGGCAGCACCCAGCTATGCATGGCCAGCACCATATTGAGAATGTGGTCCCCACGGCGCAGGCTACCGGTGGAGTCTGGGGTAGATAGAAGAAGAGGACTGTGGCAGATTGCCTCCGGGGAACGGCCTGCATGGTCGCAAGCGTTGGCTGGACAGTCGGTTCAAACCCTGGCTCTACCAGCAACTTCCTGCATGAACTTGAGCGTACCACTTAACCTCCTCGTGCCTCAGTTTCCTTGCCTATACTGTGCACAGTGTGGTGGTTAAGAGTAAGGCCTCTAAGTTCAAATCCCAGCTCTGTCACTTACTAGCTGTGTTATTTTGATTAGGGATTAAATTTGCTGCTTCACATTATTATAACTGGTGAGTAGGAGTGGACTATAAAGTCCCCAGAATGCACCAGCACAAGGCTGGGCACAATTGACTGCCATGAACAAAGACCGTCACTGACGAGTCTCTTCCCACCCCCTCAGCTCTGGAAGGCTGCCCTTCACTTCCATAGGCCCTCGTTTCCATTGTATACACCGAGAAACTGAGACCCAGAGAAGCAGGATAGGACTGGGGCAGCGGGTCGCAGGGGGGACACTCACCGAAGGACTGGATGCACTTCTCCAGCAGCTCATCCTCGCTGCAGCCGCCGTCACTCAGCACACCCAGAGCCATGGAAGCCATGACCTTGCTGATTTCCCCAGGGCTGGGGCACGTCTTGTGGCGGCGGGCCTGGCGGGGCCGGCCCCGCGCCGCTGTCACCCCCAAGCATTCCTGGTGGGACTTCCTGCAGGGACAGCCCCCAGGGAGTCATGGGAGCCTCTTTCTCCCAGCAGACCCCCCAGAATTCTTTTTGACCCTAAAGCCCCAAGGCATCATGGGAGGAGCTTCTAAAGGCAAAGTTCCCCAGGGTTACTCCTGACCTGCCATCAAACCCACCAGGTGCTCCACGGAAGGAAGACTAGACGATCTACTTCCGTAAAGATTTACAGCCTCGGAAACCCAATGGGGGTTGCTATGAGTAGGAAACGACTCCATGGCAGTGAGTTTTTTTTACCATGGACTCGTGGGAGAAAATCTCAGTATTTCAGACCCTCCCCCAGGAATCATGGGAGCCCTCTCCTACAATTAAACCCCCAGGGTTACACCTATTCCCTCCAGGGAATCATGGGAAAGACCCCAGGACTACTGAGATCCCTCCCCCAGAGAATCATGGGAATGGGAACGCCCTCCTCTAGGCAGGCCCCCAAATTCCTCTTGACTGGACAGTCCCAGGTCATCATGGAAAAGGCTTCTTGTAGGCAGACCCCAGGATTACTCCTGATGTCCCAGGGAATCATGGGCGAAGCCCCCTGGGATCATTCCTGTCCTCGCCAGGAGGAATTATGGGAGATTGTGCTCTCACATTTCCCCTTTGGTCTCCAACATCCAGCCCCCCCTCCTAAGAGCAGGCTCAATCCCTGGAATTCTCCCTTTCCCCCCTCCACACCCACTAGGGGGCACACCCCCTCCTCTAAGCCCACTCTCCAGCAGGACCTAGAGTCTTAGTGCCAGCCCAGGTCATTTCATCTGGGGCCTAGATGGCAAATATGGGTGGGAACTGGCCTTGCCAGGGCCCCTGAGAGCTAGGCGGGGCTCCTGGGGCTAAGGCAACTTCAAGGAAAGGTTAAAAATAACCTTCAGCCTGCCTTGTGCCTCCCCAAGGCTCCTGTTCCAGTTGGGGAAAGAAAGTAATGAAGAGACAGGGATGACGGGAGGAAGGAGAGAGCCAAATCAGGCGTCATGGCCTTGGGTTACACAGTAGTCAGAGAGAACTGGGTTCCAGACCGTCGGCTTGGTGTGTGACTTAGTGTCTTTGGCCTTCAGTCTCCTCATGGAAAATGAGGGTCATCCTTAGACCTAGGATCTTGTGAACATTCAATGTCTGGCTTGCCCCAAAGTATAAGAAATGGACTCAGTTTGCCAGGCTGTTAAGTGGCCAGAGATGGGAAAGTTGACCTTGAGGTACACAGAGAGAAAGTGATAGAGGAAGACTGACTAAAAGCCAGGCCTGGGGAGGGGGCGTTGGGACCAAAAAGAGGCAGACCCTCATAATCAGGGCACTGCCATGTCCTCTGGCTCATCCCAAAACAAGACAAAACATAACCCAGACCAGCTGTCACCAACTGGCTGCACCTCACGGTGACCCCATGTCTGCCGGCGCATCTTCAGTGGCTGACTGGAAGTAGAGCATCGGCCTGCCTTCCCGTGTGATTCTGAGTGGACTCAATCCTCCGATCTTTGAGTTAGCAGCCACGGCCACTACTGTCTGCCCCACCTGAGGACTCCCAGCACATCCTAAGGGCTCAATAAATTAGTATTGAGCGTTGTAGAGTAACAGCTGGCATTGATGAAGTGTTTAATATGCACCAGGCCAAATGGTGAGCACTTTGTCTAGGTCAGTAGTTCTCGAAACATGGTCCCCACCAGCAGCATCCAGCCTAACAGTATCATCCTAACCAGCCTAATAGCATGCCCTGGGAACTTGTTAGAAATGCAGAGTCTCGGGCCTCACCTAGACCTACAGACTCAGATACTCTGGGGGTTGGCCCCATAACCCGTGTTTGACATGCCCTCCAAGTGATTTGGATACTGGCTCAACAAGACCCTTCCAGTCTAGACTGTCTGAGGACTTGCAAGCCTCTCCGAGGTAGGGACTGTGATTATGCTACTAACAGAAGAGGAAACCGAGACACAAAAATTATGCGACTTACCTAAGGTCATGCAGCTAGGAAATGGTGCAGCCAGTTTTCTGCCACGAAATTGCTGTGTATCATGGGAAGGAGGTCCCTTCAATTATCAGAGCTATGCTGGGGGATGCTGGAGGGACTGCCCGTGCTAGAGACGCAGCCACCATCGGCCCCCAAGGGGACAGGCGGGCAAATGTGCCCAGGTGGCAGGAAAGCCAGCTCCAAACCTGTGGGCACAGCCAGCCACTGCCCCTTACCTGCAGACCGTCAGCTCCTGTACTGTCTGGAGAGTTAGCAGGGAATTAAGAGGCAGGGGAGCACCTTGGCCTGCGTCACACCCCTCCCCTGGGGCAGGGCCCTGCAGGAGCCTGGATTTTCCAGTGCAGGGGGCATCAGCTGTGATGAGGAACAGTAAGACCCCAGGGAGGGCATAGGCAGCCAGCCTAGGGAGCTAGGAGTGGGGGATGCAGGGCAGCTGAAACTCCAGAGAGAGGAGGAAAGAGGCACACACGCGCATAGAAACAGCCACAGCCTTGGCTCGGGTCTAGACCTAGTGCCCAATAAAACAGCTGTTACTCAACGACATTCGATACCGATTCATTGAGCCCTTAGGACATGCCAGGAGTCCCGGATGGTGCAACCAGTTAACAGCTCCAGGCTGCTAATCTGAAGGTTGGATGTTGGAGTCCACACAAATGTGCCTCTGAAGAAAGGCCTGAAGCATCTTTCCGCCTGGCACCCCCTGTTCCAGATCCAGGAGCAGCCACACACTCTACCCACGGCTATCCCTCCCCCACCTTCCCAAGCAGCCCAAGGCGCGGGGGCTTAGGATGCTCCCAGTCTCCCAGGAGGGTCCTCTCACCTCTTGCTGTCTTTCCTGTTCATGTTTCCTGCGGGGGAGGGGGGTCCCGCACCAAAGTGGTTCAGCTCCTCCCCCCTTGCTCGGGCTCCCGCTTCTCAGCTCCTAGGGACCTGGGCCTCCTCGGTGCATGGGAGGGAAAAGAGGAACTGCCCCTCCCCATTCAGCCCCAGGCCAGGGGGAAGGAAGAGGCTGCGGAGAGACCAAGGGTCCCCTCCCCCCTCATCGGGGATCCCTCCAGGCTGAGGTTTCCGGTGCTGCCCGCCTCCACCCCCAATCACCCAGCGGTCTCTCTCTATCTCCCCCATCTTTCTGTCTCTTGCCCCGTGATTCTCTGTTCTGTCGCTGCCGCAGGTCAGTAAAAAAAAATTTTTTTAAAGTATACCTAATATGACATATTTATGTCAAACACGCGCACACACACACACACACATACTCAAAAGAAAAGTCTATAATGATAAAATAATTTTCATGTACGTCATACACTAACATTTGAGTGGAAACTCGCAGAACATTGTATTTTGTATATCTCTTCTATCAATTCTTTCTTTTATTCTAAATTTACTTTTAAAGACACAATTTGTACCCCAGGAAACATTTTCCTGTTATTACTTTTATTATAACAGACCCTCATGTAGCATCTACTGTGTGCCATATAGTGTTCTAAGGGCTTTTAAACTATTATTTCATTTGCTCCACAATTCTCAGACTGCTATTTTCCTATTGTCAAGACATTACAAACAGAGGTAACACGCTCTGGGAGGTTCCCCCTCATGCCGCTGTCCAGCTTAGGTTAGGGTGACCAATGTTACATTTACGGGGTTTTGTCCAAACTGTTGTGTGTGCATTTATGTCCATAAATACCTACTCAAAAATGCAGACTTTCCTTTTAAGTATGTGTTTTTTATCCTTTACTTTAATGTATCATGCCAGACATATGTACCATTGCCATTCAAAAAAGTTCAAAAAAGAACACCAGTCATAAGTGTTTAGGTTGACGAATTGTCACAAACTAAGATAGAACATTCTCATCCCCCAGACATTACCGCCTAAAAGTTAGAACTAACATAACTTCGAACAGAGCGTAGTGTAGCCTGTTTTTGAGCTGTATATAAATAAATGGAATAATTTATTGGGCCTGGCTTTTTTTTTCTTCCATACCACAGCACTGAGATTCTTCCTTGCTATTTCATGAGACTGTAGTTTATTCATTTTCATTGCTGTATAGTATTCCATCATGTGACTATCCCACAGTGTTTTGGTCCACTTTCTTATTGATGGACATTTGTTTCCAGTTTGGAGCTACTGTGAATAATGCTGGGAGCTCTGGTAGTGCCTAAGGCATTTGACTGCTAACTGGAAGGCTGGTGGTTTAAACACACCTACTCTTCAGAAGGAAGACTGGGCAATCTACTTCTGTAGAGATATTGCCTTGGAGACCCAAGGAGGGGTAGCTATGAGCAGGAATCGACTCGATGCCAGTGAGTTTGGTTTGTGTTTTTTTGTGAATAATGCTTCTCTGAAAACATTTCAGCATGTCTTTTGGTGAACATATGTGTGTTGTTCTGTAGGGTGGATACCCAGGAGTTAATACATGGATCATGGTAATTTGCATGATTCTGCCAAACGTAGTGTTATGGATGGAATTCTTTTCCAGAAAAATATGGGTTGACTTCTTGGCCCTTGCACCTATTTTGGAGCTCTGGTGCCAAAGTGCCTAAGGCATTTGCCTGCTAGCCAGAAGGTTGGTTCAAACCCACCAGCAACTCTGTGGAAGGAAGAGGGGGAAATCCACTTCCATAAAGATTTACCACCTCAGAAACCCAGTGGAGGTCTCTATGAGTTGTAATCAACTTGATGGCAGTGAGTTTGTAACTGTTTGGGAATAAAGTTTTTCTTTCTTTTATGTTAATGAGGTCATACCAGTGTAGGGTGACCTCAAAACTCAGAGCCCTTGAAACTGATCACTTCTGAGTTATAAGGAGACCAGAAATAGACTCAGAGAAACACACAAGGGGAAAGCCAGGCACTAGAAGGATTATCTTCAAGCCCCGGAAGGCCAAGGAAGCAAGGAATGGCCGGTGCTTCACCCAGGAAGAAATCAGTGGGTTGAGACCCTAATTTAGAGTTTTAGTCTCCAGAACTGTGAGAAAATAATTTTTGTTCTTTAAAGCCTGTGGTATTTGTGTTATCTGGAAACCCAAGGAGGGGTCGCTATGAGTCAGGACCGACTCGACGGCACATAACAACAACAACAACAACAACAGGTAACTAAGGCATATAGTATGTTAGTTGATTAGACTAAACAGCTCTGCTGAAAGTATTTTTTTTTTTTTTTTGCTTCCCCCCCCAGAAAAAAAGAACTAAAGGAAGTGTCCTTGGATATATCTTCACATCAGGACATTTGAACGGCACAGATCTCAATCTCTTTACTGTGCCATCACATGACATGCCACAGTCCCAGATCCTCCCTTTCCATCTCTCTCTGCCTCTCTTCCATCCTTTTTCTCCCTCTGCCCCAAGTGGCAGTTTCTATAACGTGTTGTCGTCTCTCAGCCGGTGTTGGGCAGCACCTGCACTTTGAAGATGTGACGTCACACTCCTAGCTAAACTGAACTTGTCGAGTGAGAGTGTTTCCAGGCTCTGGGGACAACAGAGAAGCCTTGGAGAAGGAGGTCGGCAGAGGCCCTCCATTTGCATAGACTCATGCCTGCTACCCTCCAGGTCCACAGGGATGGTTAATACCAACAATAACAACACCGAAGACCACAAAGGAAAAGATTTCTGAATCAAACCACACAAACACATCAGGCAGAAAAAATGATGCATTCAGTAACATCCAAATAAGGACTTCTGTTTAATGAGGACATCATGGGGCAAGTATCAGGTGGCAGAATGGACAGACATCAAGTGAATGAGAAATTAATATTAGCACATATAAGGAACTACTACAAATCAGCAAGAAGACAGCAACCTGACAGAAAAATGGTCAAAGCGTAACAGGAAGTCCAAGATTCTGACAGGCAGGTGAGACGATGCTCCGAGGTACTGCTAACTGCTCAGGGAAATACAGAATAAAATGGCGTGAGTAATCCCATTGGTCCGGCAAAAATTAGAAGTGGAAAATGCCAACTGGAGGTTGGGGATGTGAGGCACCCAGGAGCCCTGGGTACTGAAGGTGGGAATGTGACCTCAGGAAGCCATTCCTAAGGCCACTCTGCACTACTACTACTACTACTACTACTACTACTACTACTACTACTACGTCAGTCTGTGCATGTAACTGTCACTCAAACTGTAACTGTCACTCAAACTCACTGCCATCCAGGGGATTCCCATTAATAGCGACCCTCGTTGGCTTTCCACGGCTATAAATCTTTACAGAAGGAGACTGCCTCATTTTCCTTCCATGGAGAAGCTGGTGAGTTTGAACCACCATCTTTTGGTTAGCAGCCAAATGCCTTAACCACTACACCATCAGAGCTCTTTGCACGTAGCCTCTCACCCAGTAATTAGCTCCTGCGTGTAAACCCCAAAACATTCTCACTCAGCTCCACTGGGGAACATATCCAAGGATGTTCACTGCCTCGTTATTTTGAGGGTGCTCTCTTCCCCAAGGAGTGAATGGGTGACTAACAGAGAGAGGCAGTCACCAAGCAGTCCTGTGCAGCCACCCACAGCCAGGTGTGCACGGAATGACATGGTTAGGTCTTAACATGTAACCATGACTAAGAAAAGGAAGAAGTCATGATATGATGCACAGGGACACAGAATCGCTTTATATTTCAAATTTTAAATTATTTACACTTCTTGAAATTTCAAGAAAAGCTTAATACTAGATAGTCAATTATTCATATTAACTTACATATTGTTGTTGTTGTTGTTGTTGTTTGCCATCGAGTCGGCCCCGACTCATAGCGACCCCTCCTTGGGTTTCCGAGGCAGTATCACTACGGAAGTAGGATTGCCCAACCTTCCTTCCGAGGAGTGGCTGGTGGGTTTGAACCGCCAGCCTTCTGGTGAGCAGTCAAGCGCCTTAGGCACTATGCTACCAGAGCTCCTAACTTACATATTATGTAAATACAATGATTTATGTTATAAATATACTAAAAAAGGAAAAAGAAAAAAACTCAGAGCCGACTCACAGCGACCCCTCCTTGGGTTTCCAAGGTGGTATCAGTACAGAAGTAGATTGCCCAACCTTCCTTCTGAGGAGTGGCTGGTGGGTTTGAACCGCCAGCCTTCTGGTTAGCAGTCAAATTTAGGCACTACACCATCAGAGCTCCCCTATTATACATGATATATAATTACATATTACTTTATATATAATTATACATGATGTATAATGTATGAAATGACATATGTAGGCATTATATATATAATGTATGATAAGCATAATATGTAAAGTGTATTGCTATATAATTAATACGTGCATAAACATACAATTATCTAATAATTATGCATTATAGAATTCAATAATATGGTACAAAAGTATGTGCTATATATTACAATTTGTTAACATACCGACATCTAACTCTACATTTATTAGATTTCTTATATCCATCAGTTACCATGTGGTAGGTTTTCATTGATTTCCGTAGGAATCTTCCCCGCGATCTCGGGAAATGGGAAATGTTCCGAAGTAATTCAGTTGACACATGAGGAAACCGAGCCTCCGAAGCACCAAGTCGCCTGCCTGACAGGGAGGCCCGCTTCTGTGGTGCCCTTCGCTTGGCCTCTAGGCCCCACGGCCGCTGGTTTTCGGGAACTGCAGAGGCCCTTCCGCCCGCGCTCGGCGGAGTCCGCGGGGAGCAGCTGCACTGCGCCTCCTCCAGCCTGAAGCCGGCAGCGCTGGGAGCGGGAGCAGGAAGGAGTGGTTACAGGAGCCTCCCGGGGAGGCGGCCTTGAGCTCAGCGCGCAGCTACCTACAAAGCCCGGGACACTTAGCTGCATAAAGGGGCGTCTCCAGACTAGTGGCCCTGGTGGCTTGGGCAACTTTGGGAAAGGGGTGGGTGTGAGGGAGGGGAAGGGGGCAGGACTTGGTCTGGGAAAATGGTTTCTGTTATAATAAGGAGATTTCATGGAAGTATCTAGATGACAGAGTGTAATGATTAAGAACCTTGTCTATGGATTCAAATCTCAGTTCTGCTTCTATGTGACTCCACCTATCCGCGCTCAGCTCTCCTCCTCTGTAAGTGGATGGGGACCCAAGGCATACTGACTTCACAACATTGTCGTGAGGACATGATCTATACATGGTAATGTACTGGTTAAGGTATTTGGCTGATAACCAAAAGGTTGATAGTTCGAACCCACCACCTGCTCTGGAGAAGAAAAATGGGACGGTCTACTTCCATAAAGATTTACAGTCTTGGAAACCCAATGGGGGTTGCTACGAGTTGGAATCGATTGAATGCAAAGAGTTTTGCTTTGCTTTGATACGTGATAAGGGTTGTTGTTGTTGTTATGTGCCGTCCAGTAGGACCCGACTCATAGCGACCCCTTGGGTTTCCGAGGCGGTATCATTACGGAAGTAGATAGCCCAACCTTCGTTCCAAGGAGTGGCTGGTGGGTTTGAACGACCAGCCTTCTGGTTAGCAGTCAAGTGCTTTAGGCACTATGCTACCAGAGCTCCTGTGATAAGGGTCACACATTTTTGTTTCCCCCTCTAAAAAAACGTGGGCGCTCTGGTAGCATAGTGTCTAAGGCACTTGACTGCTAACCAGAAGGCTGGTGGTTCAAACCCACCAGCCACTCCTCGGAAGGAAGATGGGGCCATCTACTTTCGTAGCGATACTGCCTCAGAAACCCAAGGAGGGGTCGCTATGAGTGGGGTCCGACTCGATGGCACATAACAACAACAACAACTAAAAAACGTGGATAATAGGATTTTATGAGAACAAAGGAAGCTCTGGTGGCAAAAGGCATTTGACTGCTGACCAAAAGGCAGGAGGTTCAAACCTACCAGCCACTCCTCAGAAGGAAGGTTGGGCAATCTACTTCCATAGTGATACTGCCTCAGAAACCCAAGGAGGGGTTGCTATGAGTCAGACCTACTCCATTGCAGTGAGTTTGGTCTTTGGTATGAGAATAAAATATGACCTAATAAAAAGATCTTAGCTTGCGCCTGGGATGAACAGGAGAGACATTGGCTGTGGCTATTATTCCCACCCCCCACACCATTATTTTTAATAAGAATATTAACACGTTGCATAGATAAAATATCTCATTTAATCCTGGCAACAACACTGTGAGGCAGGTTCCATTAATATCCTTCTCACTAGATGGGAAAACTGAGGCACAGAGAAGCTAAGTGAATTTCCCCAGGTCACACACTGAGTAGCAGGGCTGGGATTCCAACTCAGACTGCGTGACTCAGAGTCCGTGCTCTGATCACTGTGTATCGTGCTTATTAAAGCTGGGGAAACACGGGTGTGCATCCCAGCCCTCCTGTGTTATTACGGTCAAGGGCTTCCCCACTCTAAGCCTCAGTTTGCCCTCTGTGAAATGGGGAGAATGGTGGCCCCCTCCTTCGGGTGGAAGTGGAAAGAGCAAGCAGCTACGCACCTCCCAGTCCGCAGTCCCCGCACCCGGGTTCGCCGTCTGGGGGCAGAGTTCCGGCGAGAGGCGTGGCCTATCCCGCCCTGGTCCAATAGGGAGCGGGAGGCGGGGACCTCCGCGCATCTCTGTCCAGCACGCCCGTCCTCCCCGCAGTTCCATCTACCTCGCGGGTGCCTCTGGCGTCCCCTGCAGTTTCCGACCCAGGCCGGTCCAGCCTGCGGCCCCCTCTCCTCGATTCCCTGACAGCAGCCCCGGCCCCTCGGGCCTTGACATCATGGGTGACGGAGGAGAGGGCGAGGACGAGGTCCAGTTCCTGCGAACGGTGCGTGTCTCTGGGTTGGGAGTCTCTGGGGCTGTCTTTCGGGGTCTCTCTGAGTGTCTGTCTCTGAGTGTCTCTGTCCTCCTTGCTGGTGGCCTCTGAGACTCAGGATCTATTCTTCTGACACTTTGGATAATTTTCTCTGCTTCTCTCAGTCTCCGCGATCTTTCTCACGATAGCGAATTAGCAGGATTTGGGACTGCAGTGTGGGGTGGGGGTGGGGGTGAGGGTCTTTGGGCGCCGTCTCTTCTGTATTAACGATTTGCCTGGGAGGAGGGGGGCGTTGAGGAAGCAACCCCTCCCACCACCCTAGAAGCCGGCACTTGGGGAGGTTGGTTCTAATTCCTCCACTTAATTTAGCTGTCCACCCCCCCATCCCTTTCCCAGCGTAATTCTCTTCTTGTTCCCGACTCTGACCTATTTAAGTTCTTGGGAAGGGGATTGCGGTGGGCTGGAGGTCCTGACCCTTTCCATCCTCCAGCTCTTGAGGGTCTCAAAGGGACCCTCAGTCTGTCTTTCCACATTGGCTTTGGGGAAGAGCGTCAAATATGGCTGCTAAGGGTCTCTGGGTCGTTTCTCTCCCTATGGTCTCTTTGCATTGTCTTAGCGTCTCTGTCTCCCTCTCTCCGTCTTTGTTCCTTAGCTACAAGCCCTCTGTGTTTCTCTCTGTCTCTTTGGCTGTCTGTCTCTCTCTCTAATTCTGTCTCCCCCAGCATCTCTGATCCCCGGCTGGGGGCAGGGATGGGAATTGGAACAACAGGTGTCCCTCCCAGAATAGCCCGCTTTTCTGGGGCCTGGGCAGGGCCCAGGGAGGGGACGAGAGGGTGGGGGGACTCGCCCATCCTGGAGCCCTTCCCTCCTTTCCTTCCCTGTGCTTCAGCCTGGAGTGGGGAGTATGGCGTGGGGACATGTTTTCTCCTCTGGGCCCAGTCTGCTGACCCTGCACTAGCCCCTTCCCCCCTCTTTGGCCTTGAGTCCATGAAGGAAATGCTGACACAGCATTCCGGCCCCAGAATAGGACCCTGGTGAGCCGGCTCTGGTTTCCTAGGAGGGAGGAGAGAACAGCTGGGGGTGGTAGTGAAGGATGGGGACAGCTGAACTTGAGGCCACAGGAGGAGGCCTAGCTTCAGCCTAGCCTCTGCACCCATCCCCAGCCTCTTAGCAGTTACCCTGGGTTGAGCCCTCCCTTCCTCCCTGGCCCTAATAAGACGATGACCATGGCCACCAACCCTGAGCACTCACTCTACCCCAGGCCCTGTGCCCAGGGCTTTGGCCTCCTGAGGTATCTAATTATATCTTCTCTGCTCCCTCTTCTGAGATAGGGTCCTATCTTTATCTCTCTGGGAGATTTGAGGGAAACCGAGGCCCAAGTGGTAGAGTCACTCATCCAAGGTCAAAGCCAGGAGGTGGCATCTCTGGATGCCCCTGGGGCCCAGCCTTCCTGTTTTCACAAGAGAAAAACTAGGCTCAGACTTGCCAAGCTGGCCAGTGTTGGGGTTCCAGCATCTCTTGACCCCATCTGGGACTGTGTCTCTTAGCTTTATTGAGGTCGTGTGGTGGTTTTTTCAAATTTTTTGGACCACATCCCATCAGTAAAACCACACACAAAAAAAACAAACCCGCTGGCATCCAACTCACAGTGACCCCCATTGGGTTTCCAAGGAGGTAAATCTTTACCGAAGTAGATTGTCCCATCTTCCTTCCGTGGAGTGGCTGGTGGGTTTGAACCACCAATCTTCTGGTTAGCAATCAGATGCCTTAGGCACTGCACACCAGAGCTCTTTATCCCATCAGCAGGAAATATATTAATATTGCTACCAAATACATGCACAAACACACATTCATTTTAAAAATCAACTTTATTGATGCATAATTGACATGCAATAAATTGCACCTGTTGTAAGTGTTACAGTTAGAGTGAGTTTTGACAAAGTGTGCATGCCTATATAGCCACCATCACAATCAAGACAGAACCTTTCCTTTATCTCTTATCTCAGAAAGTTCCTTCATGCTTTTATGTCACTATAGTTTCCACTTGTCCCTCCTAGTGTTCCATATGTGGTATGTTCTCATTGGTCTTGTTTCTTTGACTCAGTGTAATATTTTTGACGTCCATCCATGCTGTAGCACATGTCAAGCGTTTGTTCCTTTTCATTGCTGAGTAGTATTTCATTGTGTGACTGTGCTACAGTTTGCTTATCAGCCCACGTGCCGATAGACATTTGGGTTGTTTCCATTTTTCCTCTTATGAACAAAGCCCCTAGGTTCTTGGACAAGGAATATGCATACACACCTATTTTTAACTGAAACAAATTTTGTGAAATGTAGGTAGTGCTTAAAGTAGAGGGGCATGTTACTATTTGCTGTCCATGCTGTATTTTATTTCATTTGTCCAGCACAGTGGCCTGGCCCACCAAATTGATTTCATTTCCCACTGATGGTGGTGAGCTCTAGCCCTGCCCAGGCTGGGGTTTCTCAGAGTGTGACCCTAGCATCCCATCTCAGAACCTCCTGGGGGCTGGTTAACGGTGCAGACTCCCTGCTGACCCCCTGCTAGTCCTGTTGTTGTTGTTGTTGTTAGGTGCCATTGAGTCAGCTCCAACTCATAGCAACTCTGTGTACAACAGAAAGAAACACTGCCCAGTCATGCGCTGGCCTCACAATCCTTGCTATACCTGAGCCCATCATTGCATCCACTGTGTCAGTCCATCTTGTTGAGAATTTTCCCCCTTTTCACTGACCTTCCACTTTATCAAGCATGATATTCTCCAGGGAATGGTCCCTTCTGACAACATGACCAAAGTAGGTGAGACGAAGTCTGGCCATTCTCGCTTCCAAGGAGCATTCCAGCTACACTTCTTCCAGGACAGATTTGTTCATTCCTGCTAGCCATAGAGCCCACTGAATCAAGTTATTGGGAAGAGGGACGTGGTGGCAGCAAAGAAGGTTCACTTTAAACCAGGTCATTCCCCCTCGAAGCTCATCACCCTGATGCAGGAGAAAGCTTCAGATTCAATGGTGTACTGATGACAGGCCCTGGCTCTGGTTTCCATCCTGCCTTTGTCATTTGCCTGCTTCCTGACTTTGGACAAAAGATGTAATTCTTCTCTCTGAGCCTCAATTTCCTTATCTAGAAAATGAGGAAAAAAAAACCTATGCAAGTACCTCTCCGAGCTCATCTTCCCCTTCCTCCTCGCTCCTGCTGCTGTGGCTATCCCAGACCCCTTGCTATGCCTTGGCACTCCTGGCACCCTCCAGCCACCAGGCCTTTGCACAGGCTGCCTCCTTTCCTCAGAACATTCTTCCGTCTGCCTGAGATGAGCAGGCCCGACTCCTTCTCATTATTTGGACCAGGCTCAGCTCAACTGTCACCTCCTTGGAGAGGCTGTCACTTCACCCTCTCACTGATGTCATCCCCACCTCAAAAGCCACTCTATTACATCACCCGGGGTTATTTTTTCCCCAACACTTATCACTGACATTATAATTATACATTTGTTCACAGTTTATTACCTGTCGCCCCCACAAGAATGTCAGCTCCGTGAGGGCAGGGATTTTTGTCTACTTTGCTCACTGCTCTGTTTCTAGTGCCTCGAACAATGACTGGCACATAGCAGATGCTCAGGAAGCATCTGTTAAATGCATGTAAAGCCCCAAGCAAAAGACCTGGCAAACAGTAAGTGCTTAATAAATGCAAACCGTCTGATTACAATGAATACACAAGTCCCTCGCAGGTGCCAGGGCGGCGGGCTTTGGAGTCACAAGACGGAGCAGTGGTGGGTGCCCTGCCATCAAGTCAACCCCCTCAAGGCGCCCCCCCCCGCAGGCTGGATGGACAGAGGCACTGAGGGCTGCCTGTGTGGGCTGAAGTCCAGGGTCAGAACTTATTTTGTGTGATGCGCTTGGAAGGGCTGGAGGCTGTGTGACCTCCTTGAGGCTGTGTGACCTCCTTGAGGCTGTTTCCTCTGCTGTAAAGTGGGTATAACCACTGCCTTATTCCATGGTTGAGAATTGGGGTTTCTTCATTCTTAATTGAGACCTCATCAGTAAAAGGTGTTGAGCACACCCCCTCATATATGTTTTTATCAGTCATCCATACACGTTAGATGTGGGCTCCTCTCCTAATAAATGAAGAGGTTGTCTAGGGTCCTGAGTGTGTTGTATAGAGTTAGGTTGGGATTCAAATGCCAACTCTGCTGTATGCCAGCTGTGTGACTTTAGGCAAGTCACTGACTTCTCTGGACTTCCATGTTTCATGTTCACATAATAGGACTCACCTCAGAGGGTTGTTATGCAGATTAACACACCACCGTGGAGTCGGATCCGACTCATAGCGACCCCTCCTTGGGTTTCTGAGGCGGCATCACTACGGAAGTAGATTGCCCAACCTTCGTTCCGAGGAGTGGCTGGTAGGTTTGAACCACCAGCCTTTTGGTAAGCAGTCAAATGCCTTAGGCACCATGCCACCAGAGCTCCGGTTATGCAGATTAAATGAGTTAATACATGTCCAGGGCTTGGAACAGAACCCCATAGAAAAAGCTTTTATTTTCTGTAAAATTTCAAAATTACAGAAAAGTTGCAAGATCTGGACAAAGAACTCCCTTATACCTCTCAGTCGGGTCCCCCGAATGCTAACGTTTGTCAGATCCTTCATCTTTTCCTGTGAGTCTGGATGTGTCTGTGTATGATCTGCTTCCTGTCTGTCTACCTATGTTTTTCCGGAGCTGTTTGAGGGTAACTTATTCTCTGGTGCTGCTGTAACAGAGATACTACGAGTTGGGGGCTTTCACAAACAAATTTATTTTCTCTCTGTTCAGGAGGCCGGAAGTCCGAGTTCAGGCTGCGGGCTTGAGGGGAATCCTTTCTCTCTCTGCTGCGCAGGAGAAGGCCCTTTCTCTTTTCAGTTTCTGTTCCTTGCTTCGTTAGTGATCTTCATGTGGCCTGGTGTCTGTCATCCCCTCTCTCTCCTTGCTTAATCTGCGCTTTTCTTTTTTCTTTTATTCTTGCTGGTACTTTTTGTTTTATTTGTATTTTTATTACATCATATGACAGAAGTTGGTACGTAAAATCATGGTTATTTATTTATTTATTTATATTGTGATTTGGGTGAAAATTTATAATCTGCGTTTTTCTATCTCAGAAGAGATTGATTTCTGACATACCCTACACTAAGCCTGCCTCATTAACATAACAAATTCTTTAAATGCCTCAGTTTGTGTTTCCTAAAAAACAAAGGCAGTCTCTTAAAAACCACAGAGTAATTATACAAATTAGAACATTTACTACTGATAGACATGATTATTTAATTCCCAGTGTTTATTCAGATCTCGCTAATTGTCTCAATACTGTCGTTTATGGCATTTCTCCCTCCATCCAAGAGCCAATCCAGGATCTTACATCGTGTTCAGGTGTCATTAGAAAGCACCCCTTAGATGCTAGCAATTATTAAAGCAACACATACAAGAGATAAGTGAGAGAAGGATGGGTTTAAAAAGCAAGTTAGCGTGAGGTGAACACAGTCTACCCTCCAGTGTATCCATACCCCACATGGGAGGCCTCTGGAGGCAGCCAGACCCAGGTTCAAATCCCAGGTCCTCCTTTTACCAGCTGGGTGGCCTTGGGTAAGCAGTGTTCCCTCCTGTGCCTTAGTTTCCCCATTTTAAAATGGCTCCTTTCTCAGAGGGCTGTTAGGAGTCCCTACAGCACTCAGCACAGGCCTTGGCTTGATAAATAATGTGTGTGTGTGTGTGTGTGTGTGTGAGGGGGAGGTATTGGCTTGACAAATTGTGTGTGTGTGGGGGGGTATTGGCTTGATAAATTGTGTGTGTGGGGTGGGTATGATTAATGGCTATCTTTTCATAAGGAGCCCTAGTGGTGCCATGGTTAAGTACTCAACTGCTAATTGAAAAGGTTGGCGGTTCAAATCCACCAGCCGCTTGATAGAAGAAAAGACCTGGTGACCTGCCCCTGTAAAGGTCACAGCTTAGGAACCCTATGGTGGTTCTACTTTGTCCTTTGGGATCACGATGGAGTGGAATGGACTCAACAACATACAACAACTATCTTTTCGTAAAAGGGAAGGGTGAGGGGAGTGGGCTGTGGTATGTGGGCCTGGCCAACTCTGACCTCAGTGCCTGCCCCGCAGGATGACGAGGTGGTCCTGCAGTGCAGCGCCACGGTGCTCAAGGAGCAGCTGAAGCTATGTCTGGCTGCCGAGGGCTTCGGTAACCGCCTCTGCTTCCTGGAGCCCACCAGCAACGCCCAGGTCTGTTGCTGGGGAAGAGGGTGTGGAGGGTCTTGGGTCCAAAGAAGAGGGTTCTGGAATTTGAAGAGGGCCTGCTGGCTGGAGAGGAAACAGGCTGGGGGATGAGGGGGAAAGGGGGCAGGGTCTGAGGAGGGAGAGTTAGAGAGCCTGGTGAGGTAAAGAAAGAGATTTAAGGAGGCAGAAAGCACCTGAGTGTTTTAGAGGGGAGGGCCCTGGCTGTGAGGAGACTATGACTGAGAGAGGTAGGGGCTTGGGGTCTTAGAGAGCAAGAGGTCTGGAGGGAAGATGGTCTGAGGTGTGGGGTTCTAAGAGTGGAGGGCAGCTGGGGGACTGAGGGTAGAGAAGGGTAGAGAGCTGAGGGGGCAGAGGACCTTGGATTCAAGGTGCAGGGACCTGGGGATGATAGCAGGAAGGCTTACTAGGGCAGTAACTGAAGACTGAGAGTGGAGGGAGCCTGGGATCTGAGAGGAGACAGGGCCAGAGAGTAAGGTAGGCTCAAGGTTTGAGAGAGAGGAGATCTGGGGGCATGGGGCATGGGGCTGAGAGAGGGTGGGGATGTGGAGACTGATGGGAGGGAGGGTCTGGAAGTCTGAGTGAGCAGCGTCTTGGGGGTGTGCAGAGAGTCTTGGGTCTAAGAGGAAGGATGTCTAGGTGTGAGGTAACTGGGATGGGAGTCTGAGGAGGCAGGCATAAGGTTGGACCCTGCTGTGATTATGAAGTGGTGTGAACATGTGTCTGAAGGAGAAGGCAGGAACTGGGACTATCTAATAGTGAGGGCATTAGGTAGGGCTTCCTTGGGGATAGGAGGGATTGGGGGTTATCTGAAGGGGGACAGCATAGAGCAGGAGCTTCTGGCAAGTTGGAGCACATGTGTATGTCTGAGAGGAGAGGCGTAGAGCTGGAGCTACCTGTGAGGTTAGGGTGGGGGTTAGGGTACTTGAGTGAGGACGATAGTGTGGAGCCTTCTGTAAGTCTGACTGGAGTTTCAGTGTTTGAAAAGGGGCCGTGGTGGTGCACTTGTTAAGCACTTGGTTGCCAACTGAAAGATGGGCAATTTGAACCCACCAGTCTCTGTGGGAGAAAGATGTGGCAGTCTGCTTCCCTAGAGATTAGACTTAGAAACCTTATGGGGCAGTTCTGCTTTGTGGTGAAGAGCTTCTATGGTCGGAATGGACTCAACAGCAAAGGCTTAGGTGTTTGGGGGAAGGGGCGTAGAAACATGCTTTCTGTGATGTTGCTGGGGATACAGTGGGTCTGATGGGAGTGGCAGAGGTCAGAGGCTTCTTGTGCACTGCGGAGGGGTCTCGGTATCGAGGGGGTGTGGGCATTCAGACCAAGGGAGGAGGTATGCCATGGTATGGTGCTCGGGGGTCTTCCAGCACCCCCACTCACATCTCACTCCACCCCAGAATGTGCCCCCTGACCTGGCCATTTGCTGCTTCATGCTGGAGCAGTCACTGTCCGTCCGTGCCCTGCAGGAGATGCTGGCCAACACCGTGGAAGCTGGTGTGGAGGTGAGGCTCCTGTCTTGGGGTGGGGGTAGGAGATGACCGAGAGCCCTGGGGTGGTTTAACATCTGCTCTGCTTCCTCTCTCTGCCCCACCCCACAGGCCCTCAATTTGGATAAGTGGGTAGGTCTGGCCTTGGGTGTCACCTCCCTTCCCACTCCTCCTGACCCCAGGCCTGCCTCTAGGGCCCACATTCCTGCACACAAGGGCTGGGGGTCTCCCCCACCCCAGTTGTCATGGCTGTGGAGCCCAGAACAGGCCAGGGAGGCAGGCAGGAAGGAAGGAAGGGAGAAGGGCCTTCTGAGCCTCCGTTCTCCCTCCTTCCCCCCTTCTTTCCCCTCCTTTCCCCTCCTTTCCCCTCACTCTGGTTCCAGCACGGGACCTCTCTCCTCACTTCCCGTATCTCAAGTGTGGGTGTTCCCCCCTCCCAGGAGTGAGTCTGCCATGCAATCAGATGGCACCATCACATGGCACCCTCAGCATGGGCATGTGACAGCTGGATGGGGGGGCATGATGCCATCAAACTACTGGGTGGACCTCCCTGCCTTCCAGAGGGGCTGGGTCTCCTTGCCCTCAGGAGGGGTGCAGCAGCACAGGGGGCTTCCCCGATCCCTGTAGGTGTTGTTCAAACATTTAACAACAGCAGACTCTGCCGGTGCACCCACTGCAGCTCGGCCGGGTTATGACATGTTAGAGTAGAGAGGGCCGAGCCCGTGGAACATGGAATTCTGCAGCCTTCCTCAGCGTCCCCAGGTACCTCAAGGATGGGCTCAGTCTCCCTGACTGGCTTCTAGGTCCGGCCAACAACGTGGAGGAAGCTGGGAGGACAGAGTGGGCTCCGAGGAATACAAACTCCCCATCCACAGGCCTCTCAGAGACACAGCCCCTGCCTCCATGAATGGGAGACTGAGTGAGAGAATCTGCTGAGGGTCTGAGCTATTGTTCACCTCCAGGCCTGTGCGTGGTACACTGTGGGGAGCAAGAAAGCCACTCGGGAATGGACCAGGTGTCTGGGGGGTCTTGAGAGTCTGAGGGATCTGTGTTTACCCTGTGCCCTCCCTCCTCCCTCAGTCATCGCAGGGTGGGGGACACAGGACGCTCTTGTATGGCCATGCCATCCTGCTTCGGCACGCCCACAGCCGCATGGTGAGTATGTGGTGGGGGCAGTGGGGGCAGGGGTGGGAGTGCAGGGCCTGCTGGAAGGAGGCTGACTCCCCTCTGCAAACTCTAGTATCTGAGTTGTCTCACCACCTCCCGGTCCATGACCGACAAGCTGGCCTTCGACGTGGGACTGCAGGAGGATGCCACAGGTACAGGGTTTGGGGAACGTTGGGGCTCTGCAGATAGGAAGGAGGGGCTGGAGTGGCAGTGTCCTAGGGCAGGGATGGAGACCTTTGGGCAAGTGGTCTGGGGGCGTGGATGGGTGCATTTGGGACAGAGAGACTCTGGGAAGCATGCGGGAACTGGGCAGAGGACCTGAGAACAAGAATGGGGACATTGTAGACACAGAGTTGGGGGGTAGCAATAGGAGAATTGGGGCACAGGGCCTAGAGGAAGCAAGGACAGAGTGCTGGGGAGGCTCAGGGACTGGGAATGCTCTGAGGAAGAGCATTCTGGGACCTGTTATTCTGACATACACCCCCCCCGGCCCCCTGCCTTCCCCCTCCCCTCGTAGGCGAGGCCTGCTGGTGGACTATGCACCCAGCCTCCAAGCAGAGGTCAGAAGGGGAAAAGGTCCGTGTTGGAGATGACCTCATCCTTGTCAGTGTCTCCTCCGAGCGCTACCTGGTGAGAATCCCACCCTATCACGGCTCCTACCCTTTCCGGGCTGAGGCGGACCTAACTGGGACACCATCTCCTCAGTATCAGTTTAGCTGGTTGGTCTCTGGTCTCAGCTTCCTGACTCCCAGTTTCCAGCTTCCTGACCTTGGACATCCAGTCTTCTGATTTCTGACCTCCCATTTTCCAACTTGACCTCACTTTCCTGGCCTGTGAATTTTCCGTCTCCATCACTGGGGCTCCTGACATCTAACGCTGATTTCTGACCTCTGACTCTGGGACTCTTGCCCATCCCTCTGCCCATATCTGACCACCACCTCCTGGTTGCCTCCTAGCACCTGTCAACAGCCAGTGGAGAGCTCCAGGTTGACGCCTCCTTCATGCAGACACTGTGGAACATGAATCCCATCTCTTCTGGCTGTGAAGAGGGTAAGGTCCCCAGAACTTAGGCCCTTAAACTGAGGCCCCAAAAGCAGGCCCCCATCACTGCCCTCTAGACATGCCCAAACTGAGACTTGAAACCTGAGACCCCAAAACCAGATCTCTAAATTATGACCCTCACACTTAGTTAGATCTCTGAGTTTAACGCCAAGTGCAGAAGCTCAAAGTCAGACTCCCAAAATCAGGACTCAGTATTAGACTCCCAAACTTAGCCCTAAAGGATCAATCTCTAAAAGCTCATATGCCAGTCTTAAATCCACAAGGTCACACCCTTAAAATCAAATCCCAAAGCTTAGAAAACCAGATTCAGAGCTTGTCTCTCAGACTGTACTGTCAGACAACAGAGACAACAATGTCAGACTCTCAAATCCAAACCTGAGATCCCCAAACCAAGACTCTAGTTCAGACTCCAAACCTCATACCACCCATATTAGACCCCCAGCCTTTCACTCCACATCCCAGTCCTCAAAAATAAAATCTTCAAAATCAAATTCCCAAATTCAAACCCTCATATTAAAACTCCGAAGCATGGCCCCAAAACCTAGATGCCAACTCTCACACCCAACACTTCTGACCCCCAAACCATCCCAGCCTGAGATTCAAAACCACAGGTCCCAAAATTCACACCTTAACCTCAGACTTACCAACTTCAAACTACAGGGTTTAGATTTCTCCAAACTCATACCCCAAACCTCAGACACCAGTCTCAGGCCCATAAAACTCAAAACTTAGACCTTAACATCAGACTTTAACTTCAGACCCAGTTGTTACACCTCTCAACCCAAACCCCAACACTTAATACTCAGATCCCCATGTCAGAACCTTAGACCCATACCTCTGACCATGTAATATGAACCCTAACCTCAAAAATCCAAATTCAGACCCTTAGTTAAACCCAGACCTGTTGTCGTTGGTTGTCATTGAGTAGGTGCCAACTCATTGACCCCACGTACAACATGACCCATTGTTGCCAGTCCTACACCAGCCCCACGATCACTGGCATGTTTGAGTGGAGGGCAGCTCCGTTCAGCTGTTGCAGCCATTGTGTAGTGACTTCCAACCTAGGGGCCTCATCTTCCAGTACTATGTAAGACAGGTTTCTGTGGTGATCCATAGGGTTTTCATTGGCTAAAGAAGTAGACCACCAAAAAAAAAAAAAAAAAAACAAACTCACGGCTGTGGAGTCAGATCCACCTCATAGCGACCCCTCCTTGGGTTTCCAAGGTGGTATCTCCACGGAAGTAGATTGCTTAACCTTCCTTCTGAGGAGTGGCTGGTGGATTTGAACTGCCAGCCTTCTGGTTAGCAGTCAGTTAGTAGATCACCAGGCTTTTTTTTTTTTTTTTTTTAAATTGTGATTTAGGTGAAAGTTCACAGAGCAAATTCATTTCCCGTACAGCAGCAGTTCATGCACATTTTATTTCATGACATTGACTGCAATTCCCCACAGTGTAACAGCTCTCCTGCTTCCTCCCCAAAGTTACCTCTTCCTTATGTCCTTCTTTCCTATGCATTCCTACCCCCCCTGAGCTATTTCCCTGTGCAAATACTGCCCTTCTGTTCTCTCATGACTGATTGTTCTAAGGAGTGTATCTGCCTGATATAAATGTTCACCCTATAAGCCTGTCTGTTGTTTGGCTGGAAGCCACAGGAGTGAGTTCAATTCCAGAACTGAATGGTAACTAGGGGCCATGGTCTCGGGGGTCTCTCTAGGCTCTATCAGACCAGCAAACCTGATCTTTTTTATGCTCTTGAGTTTTGTTCCACATTGTTCTCCTACTCTATCCAGGATCTCCTGCACTGTTCCCTTTCTGAGTGGTTGACAGTGGTAGCTGGGCACCATCTAGTTCTGGTCTCGTGGTCTTATACGCTGAGGGTCGTATGGTCCACTAGTTCCTTGGAGTAATTGTTTCCATGTGTCTTTGGTTTTCTTCATTCTCCTATGCTCTGGATGAAGAGAGACCCATCATTGTTGCATCTATATGGCCTCTTGCAAGCTTTTAAGACCCCAGTCACTACTCACCAAAGTAGGCTGTAGAATAATGGTTTTGTGTAGTTATGCCAGTTGAGCTTGATGTCCCCTGATGGAGCTTGATGTCCCTGGGATCACCAGGATTTTCTTCCCAGTCTGTCTTAGTCTGGAAGCTCCACTGAAGCCTGTCCACCATGGATGACCCTGCTGGTACCTGAAATACTGGCACCATGACTTCGAGCATCACAGCAACATGTGGCCACCACAGTTTATCATCATGAAAAACTGACAGATGGGAGGTGGAAACCCAGATCTAGAAACTCACAAACCACCCCCGACATAGCCCTGCCAGCCCAGAACCCCAAACTTAGGCACTCAACCTCAGACACTGAATTTTATCCCTGCACTTCTGGCCTCTAACTTGACCTCAGATCTCAGACTATCATGTTGTACCTTGAAACTCAGACCCTCAAGTGCAGACCTTCAAACCTGAAACATCATAACTCAGCCCCTAGCCTCCCACAGAGGGAGTAGCAGGGCCCCACGGTCCAACTTGGCCAGTGGGTCTTTCTGGGGTTCAGTCTCCCAGTGACCACCTTCTCTTGCTCCTTTCCAGGCTATGTGACTGGGGGCCATGTCCTCCGCCTCTTTCATGGACACATGGATGAATGTCTGACCATTTCTGCAGCTGACAGTGAAGACCAACGCAGGTCTGGGTTGGGGATTAGAAGACTTTGGGTCTTGGGTGGCAAGAGCAAAGGTCAGCTGAGGAGCGAGGGCCCTGTGGGTAGGTGAGAGAATCGGATTCCGAGGGGTCTGGTGAGGATGGCCACTGGAGAACTTACTCTCGCTTATGTTCTTAGACTTGTCCACTATGAGGGGGGTTCTGTGTGCACCCATGCCCGCTCCCTCTGGAGACTGGAGCCACTGAGAATCAGGTGAGGGGCAGGTGCGGTGGGCTGGGGCCCTGGAGGGCCTGGAGGAGAGAAAAGGTCTTGAAGGAGGATTGAGGATTGGAGAGTTTCGGGGAGAAAACCTAGGATGTTCAAGAGAGAGATAAAGGCCCTCAGGGATCCTGGAGTAGAGAAAAAGGAAGTCTTGGTTGGAGGAGGATTGAGGACCCCTGAGGGAGGGATCAGAGGGTCCAGAATGAAAGTGTGGAGAGTTTAGGAGGAGAAAAGGAAGAGTCTGGGAAAACGGGCCAGTGGAGACATTTGGACAGACCTGAGCAATATTTGGGGGACAGAGAGGATTGGCGTTACTGAGGGAGGACTGGGTGCCCCAGTGGAGGCCTGGGGGCCCAGAGGAAGGTTTGGGGCACCCTGAGAGAGGGTTGGGGGCTTGGAGAGGTTTGGGATCAAGATGTGATGTCCATCAGAGGGGTCCTCTTACTGTTCTTGCTCTCCTCCTCCGCAGCTGGAGTGGGAGCCACCTGCGCTGGGGCCAGCCTCTTCGCATCCGCCATGTCACCACAGGGCGGTACCTGGGGCTCACCGAGGACCAGGGCCTGGTAGTGGTCGATGCTGCCAAGGCCCACACCAAGGCCACCTCCTTCTGCTTTCGCATCTCCAAGGTCATTTGGGCTCAGGGTGCCCTCCCTCACCTGAAGCCCAAAGTCCTGCCTCAGCCCTGCTCTGCAGTCCCTCAGTGGGGTTCTGATGAAGTTGACCTCTGCTCCCTGGCCTTATAGGAAAAGCTGGATACAGCCCCCAAGCGGGACATAGACGGCATGGGCCCCCCTGAGATCAAATATGGAGAGTCGCTGTGCTTCGTGCAGCATGTGGCCTCAGGCCTGTGGCTCACCTATGCTGCCCCGGACCCCAAGGCCCTGAGGCTTGGCGTGCTCAAGAAGAAGGTGGGTGCTCAAGAGGAGGTGGGGGTGCAGGCAGGAGCAAGACAGGGTCTGGGAGATGGGCGAACTTGAGCCTTCAGGGATATGAGGACAGGGACTAAGAGGAAAACAGAGAGAGAGACAGAGAGAGAGAGAGGAAAGTAGAAAGGTAAAGACAGATACTGACAAACTGACTGAGAATAACATTCCACAAACAATTACTGAGTACCCGTGTTGCCCCAGTTGTGTGTGTGGGAAAGAAATGAGTAATATAGACCTGTTTCCTGCCCTCCTCGTGCTCAGAAATGGTGAGTAAAATGCCCTTTTTGAAGGAAATGGTATTGAACTCGAGGAGTGGGAAAGCTACTTTGACAGAGAGTAGAGCAGTGCAAAGGGCCGGAGGTTGGAATGAACTTGACTTATTGCAATAACAGAGACTTGATGTGGTTGGAGCAGAGCAGATGAGGGACACATGGTAGGAGGTGTGTGGGGCAGATGGTACTGAATGAGATGGAGCCACGGGAGGGTTTTGAGCAGGACAGGGACGCAGTCCGATGTAGGATTTCACAGGGTCCCTGGCTGCCTGTGGGACCCAACTCTGGGAGGGAGGAACGCCAGGAGAAGAGTGCTCTAGTGGTCCTGGTGGGAGAGACCAGGGCAGGGGCTGTGGAATGGGGAGAAGGGGACTGATTCTGGTTGTATTTTGAGAGTGGGATCAATAAAATCTTATGATGGATTGGATATCAGGATGAGAGAGGGGGAAATGGTTTAAGGATGATGCCATGATTTTTGCCCTAAGCAAATGGAAGGATGGAAGTGTCATTAGCTGAGTTGGGGACAGTCTAATGTTGCTCAGGAGGGCAAGGATCTTAAGCTTTAACTCCAGTGCCTAGAAGAGGGCCACTTATAATGACTTGCTGGACTTGTTGGGTGAATTGTCAGGAAGCCTGAGGAGGCATCGTTTCTGGAAAGCCAGGCCTGCAGCTGGACACTTGAGCTGGGGATCTAGAGATGAGACCTGGGCCAGAGGAGCAGGACGTGGGAGTTGTCAGCACATGGATGGTGTCTGAGTTATGTGATGCTGCTGTAACAGAAATACCAGAAATGGACGGCTTTAACACAGAAATGTACTCTCTCGTAGCTCAGGAGGCTAGATGTCCAAATTCAGGGTGCCAGCTCTAGGGGAAGGTCCTTGTCTCTTGAGCTTCTGCTCCTGGGCAATCTTCATGTGGCTTGCATATCTCTTCCCCTCTCTGCCTCCTAGATTGCTTTTATAACTCAAAACAATAGACTCAAGATACACCTACATTAATCCTGCCTCATTAACATAACAAAGACAACCTATTCCCAAATAGGATTATAACAGGTATACCAGGCATAGAGGTTAGGATTCCCACACATATTTTGGGGGGGACACAGTTCAATCCATGACTTGGTATTTATAAATGCAGGATAGATGGGGTGCCGAGGGAAGTCAGTCCTGGGTCATGCCAGCATGGTGATGATCCCACCTCAGAAAGGCAGTCAGACATTCTGTGGACATGTTAACTTTGGGGTGCTCTTTGAGCTTCTGTGACGGGGAGATATTAAGTCAGTAGTACAAACAGGTGGAAAGGCTCTGGCCAGGATACACATGAGATGGAGAGAGGCCGAGAGAGAAAAAGGGAGAAACAAAGAGGGACCGAGACACAATACGGAGACAGATGGAGACATAGAGAAATGAGAAGAGGCAGAGAGAAACAGAGTGTGGGACAGAGATCAGAAAGAAGTGGGGAGAGAAAGAGGCAGAGAGAGAGAGACAAAGGCAGACAGAAACACGGACAGAGAGGGAGAGACAGACATGCGAGAAAGGGAGAGAGAGAGAGAGAGAGAGGGAATGAAAGAGACCCCAAAAAGGGAAAGAGAAATGGAGAAACAGACACCCATGAATACATATAGGTTTGGCAGAGGGTATTTCTTCATGGTATTTATATTGCTGCAAATATATCCATGAATATAGTATACAAGGGCAAAGTTATGAAAACTTCTTAGCCATAATCCAAAACCTTGAGGGAATGAGTTGCTGGGCCTAGGGGCTCAGGATCATGGTCTCAGAGGACACTAAGATCAGTTGGCATAACACAGTCCACAAGGGCAATGTTCTACTTCTTACTTTGGTGAGTAGTGACTGGGGTCTTAAAATCTTGTGACCAACCATCTAAGGTGCAACTACTGGTCTTTCCCCATCTGGAGCACAGAAGAGTGAAGATAATCAAAGATGCAAAGAAACAATTAGTCCAAAGGACTAACAGACCACATGAACCCCAGCGTCCATGACCCTGAGACCAGAATTAGTTGGTGCCCAGCTAGCACTGCTGACTGCTCTGAAAGGGATTACAATAGGAAGTACCAGAGAGAGTGGGAGAAAAATGTGGAACAAAACTCAAAAAAGACCAGGCTTGCTGGTCTGACAGAGAGTGGTGGAAGCCTGCGGCCCTTAGACACCTTGCAGGGCTGGAACTGCTCACCCCCGTGGCTCAGCTTTCTGCCAAAGGATAGACAGGCTTATCGGGGAACAGTAACACTGCGGAGGCAAGTATCAAGTATCGGAACAGTCAACCATGAGATGGAAAGGACAGCATTTGCCCAGGGATAAAGTTCAGAAGGCACGAATGGACAGCAAAGAAGGATGAAGGGAAATGGTAACCACAGGAAGTGGGAAGAGCGCTGCTACACTGGGGGGAATTGCAATCAATGCACAAAACAAAATATGTGAATTGTTGAATGGAAAACCAGTTTGCTCTGTGAACTGTTACCCAAATCACAAAAAAAAAAAAAGAAAAAAGAAATGAAACAGAAAGACTGGCCGAGAGTCTGGAGTTGGGGGCAGCTGTGGGACTAGCGTGTGGGTGGCAGGCCCCCTCCTGACTTCTCTGCCCTTCCCACTCCCAGGCCATGCTCCACCAGGAAGGCCACATGGACGATGCACTGTTCCTGAGCCGCTGTCAGCAGGAGGAGTCCCAGGCGGCCCGCATGATCCACAGCACCGCCGCCCTGTATAACCACTTCATCAAGTGAGTGCGCCACCGTCGGGGGTGTGTGTGAGGAGGCAGGTGACACCCTGACCCCCATGCTCCTGGCGTTCATGCACCCGACCCCTTTAATTTCTACCTCTAACATCCGCACCCATCCTCCATACTTCAAAACTTCCGAGCTCCGATCTGACTGGACACCCGTAACCTTTGACCTCACAGTCCTCATCACCCCCTAACTTCTACATCTCTGATATCCAGACCCTGACCCGGGACCTTCCTAGCCCGGAGTCTGCTTCCAGGACTTCCTGTGCCTACGCAGTAGCGAATCACTGTCCCAGCTCTGCTCCTGGCCACTGTGTGACCACGGCCGCGCCGTCCCCCTCCGCGTCTTAGCCTCTCCCTTCTGTAAAATAGGAGCTTCAGAGGGGTCTTGCTCGGAAGGGGGCTCGCGGAGCGCCATGCCGGCAGTCAACGCTCCAAGCCCCCTGGCTGACAGCTGCGCGGTTCTCGCAGGAGTCTGGACAGCTTCAGCGGGAAGCCGCGGGGCGCGGGGCCGCCGGCTGGTACTGCGCTGCCCATAGAGGGCGTCATCCTGAGCCTGCAGGACCTCATCGGTTACTTCGAGCCGCCCTCTGAGGAGCTGCAGCATGAGGAAAAGCAGAGCAAGCTGCGCAGTCTGCGCAACCGCCAGAGCCTCTTCCAGGAGGAGGTGAGGGAGGCGAGGGGCGGGCCCGAGGGGCGGGCCCGAGGGGCGGGCCCGAGGGCAAGTGCAGGAGCGTGAGCCCGGAAACAGGCCTGGGGTGAAGTGGAGGGCAGTAGGGAGTTAAGGGGGGTGGGGGAGGCTTGAGTGAGGCGGGCGGGGCTGCACTGATGGGCGGAGCGTGTGGGGGAGGGGCAGAGAGTAGGAGGAGCAGGGGGCGGTGTCTGTGGTAGGCAGGTGGAACCAGAGAGATGAGTACCTAGGAGCAAGAAATGGGGTTCGATGGGGCTGTGAAGCTTAAGGCCAAGGCAAGTCGAGGCCTGGGGAAAAGTCAGAGATGGGGTACTGCAGGACTCAAAGGAGAATGTAGGTGGGAACAGGGCCTCCGCTGGGAGGGCAGAACCAGATGTGGGCCTGTAGGAGGCAGGGCAAGAGATGGATCTTTGGGCATCAGGGAAGAGAATGTAGGTAGGGACCTCAGCTGGGGTCAAGGATTGGGAGTCTGTGTGTTGGGGAGCCCTAAGGAAAGGGATGTGGATGCTTCCACCCAGCACTAGTGGGAAGGACAGCGCCTGAGTGAGAGGAAGGAGCTGAACAGAAGAGGGGTCTGAGGTCTCCACCATGTGGTGGGAAAGCACATTCACTGAAAGGCATCCAACTTGGCCCTCCTCTCCAGGTCTGATGGGGGAGGCCGCCTCCTTAATTGTAATAGTAACAATAAAAAGACAATCAGTTCCTAAATGGTTAGCACATGCCATGTACTTGGAACAGTGCCAGCATGTGTTGTTTTGTGCCGTGGAGTCAACTGGACTCACAGCAACCCTGCAGGACAGAGTAGAACTGCCCATAGATCTCCTAGGTTGTAATCTTTGTGTGAGCCGATCACCGGATGTTCTCTCTCCCACAGAGCAGCGGGTAGGTTCAGACCACTGACGTTTGGGTTAACAACCAGTCAGTCACTTAACCATTGTGCCACCAGAGCCTTGCCAGCACATAAAACCAAAATCCAAACTCACTGTTGTTGAGTCATTTCCGACTCATGGCGACCCCTCCTTGGGTGTCTGATACGGTGTCTCTATGGAAATAGATTGCCCATTCTTCTCCAAGGAGTGGCTGGTGGATTTGAACCACCAGCTTTCTGGTTAGCAGTCAAATGCCTTAAGCACTATGCCACCAGAGCTCCTCCTAGCACATAGAAGGTGCTATGTAAGTTATAGTGATTAATTTTATTACTTTGAATTTAGCCCTTACATTGTGTAAAGATTACCCTATCGGGCAGTTCTCTGTCACATGGAGTTGCTAGTTACTCAGCGGTAACTAACAACATATGCTAAATGGTCTTACATAGTAATCTTATGGAGGATTATGTTACAATTCCCGTATTACAGATGGGGTCACTGAAGCTCGGCAAGGTTAAATAACAGTCATCTCCTCAACAAATTAGGAGCTCTGGTGGTGTAGTGTTAAGGCATTTGGCTGCTAACCAGAAGGTTGGTAGTTCGAACCCACCAGTTCCATGGAAGAAAGACGAGGCAGTCTGCTTCTGTAAAGATTTACAGCCTTGGATACCCACTGGGGGTTGCTGTGAGATGGAATCAACTCGATGGCAGTGAGTTTGGTTTTTGGGGTACTCAACAAATACTTACTGGGTGCCTACCATGTGCCAGGGGATGCACCTATGAAGAAAACAGACTAAAATCCCAGTCCTTATGGAGTTGATGTTGGGGGAGAGGGGAGATAATAAAATAAGTAAATTATATGGTACATGAGATGGTGATAAGTGCTAAGGAGAAAAATAAAGCAGAGAAGGGAGTAGGGAGCGCTGAGTTGTTTAAAAGAGTCATCAGGGAAGGTGAGCTGTGAATAAAGACCTAAGCAAAGGAGGAAGCCACGTAAATATCTGCAGAATATGGCGTAGTGCCTAAGGCATCTGACTACTAACCAGAAGGCTGGTGGTTCAAACCCACCAGCCACTCCTCAGAAGGAAGACTGGGAAATCTACTTCTGTAGAGATACCGCCTCAGAAACCCAAGGAGGGGTCGCTAAGAGTCAGAACCAACTTGACGGCAGTGAGTTTGGGTTTTTTGGTTTTATTCTTCAACTGGTAGAAAGGACAGAAAATGCAAAGGCCCTGAGGTGGGAGCAGGGTTGTCATATTCCAGAAACGGAGAGGCGGCCTCGGTAGGAGTTGGTGGGGATAAGGGCAGAGAAGTGACAGAGGCCAGGCCATGTGAGGACTTTGGTTTTGGGAGCCACGGGAGTTAGATCTTCCGAAGTCACAGCTCGTTAGTGTCAGAGTTACCCCTGTGTCACCGGCCTGTCCAGCCTTATCAGCAGTAACTCCCTAGCCATGTGCGTTAGGTTGAGGGACCCACATAGATCTGTGTCACTCCAACTTGGTTACACTGCTTCTCTGACTAGTGATATGGGCTCCACAATGCGTGCACAACAGTTGTCATAGCAGTATTGTTTGCGGTACCTTAAAACTGGAAACAGCCCAAATGTCTGTCAACACTAGAATGAATCAGTAAGGTGATAAATCCATTAATGAAGGACAATCGAACACACTACGGCCACACCCGATAATATGCTGGAAGCTTTTTTTTTTTTTTAATTTTATTTCTCTCTCTTTGTTTTTATTTGGGTGAAAGTCTACAGAGCAAATTCATTTTCAATACAGCAGCTCATATGCATTTTGTTTCATGATATTGACTGCAATTTTCCACAGTGTAACAGCTCTCTTCCCACTTCCTTCCTGTAGTTACCTCTTCCCTGTGTCCTTCCCTCCTATGCAATCCTGCCTCCTGAGCTGTCTGCCTGTTCAAACACTGCCCTTCTGTTCTCTCAGGACTGACCACTCTGAAGATTATATCTACCTGATGTAAATGTTCACCCCATATGCCTGTCTGTTGTTTGGCTGAAAGCCACAGAAGTGAGTTCAATTTCAGAAATGAAGGGTAACTAGGCTCTATCTGACCAGCAAACCTGGTCTTTTTTTTTTTTTTTTTTTTTATGATTTTGAGTTTTGTTCCACATTGTTCTCCCACTCTAGCCAGGATCTCCTACACTGATTCCCCTCTGAGTGGCTGACAGTGGTAGCTGGGCACCATCTAGTTCTTCTGGTCTCATGGTCATGTAGACTGAAGATTGCATAGTCTGTCAGTCCCTTGGAATAAGTGTTTCCATGCGTCTTTGGTTTTCTTCATTGTTCTTTGCCCTGACAAGGAGAGACTCATCACTGCATTTAGATGACCGCTTGCAAGCTTTATTTATTTATTTTTAATTGTTTTCTTTATAGGATTTTTTGTAGGCTGTAATATCTTTTTTTCCCCCTAAGTAAGTTTTATTTATTTATTTATTGTGATTTGGGTGAAGATTTATCGAGCAAATTCATTTTCCATGCAGCAGTTCACATACACTTTGTCTCATGACATTGACCACAGTTTACCACAATGCAACAGCTCTCCTCCCACTTCCTCCCCATAGTTACCTCTTCCCAGTGTCCATCCCTCCATACTCTCCTGCCCCCTGAGCTGTCTCCCTGTGCATAAACAGCCCTTCTTTCTCCCATGATTGTTCTCTCCAAGGAGTGTATCTACCTCAGGTAAATGTTCAACTCATATGCCTGTCTTTTGTTTGTCTGGAAACCACAGGTGTGGGTTCAATTCCAGACCCGAAGGGCAGCTAGGGACCATAGTCTCAGCGGTTCCACCAGGCTCTATCAGACCAGCAAACCTGGTCTCCACCTTTTTTTTTTGCCTCTAAATGATTGTAAGTTTTGTTCCACATTGTTCTTCCTCTCTATCAAGGATCTCCTAGATAGATCCCTTCCAAGTGGATGAGAATGGTAGCCGGACACCCTCTAGTTCTTCTCATTTCATAGTCGTATAGACTGCAGATCGGATGGTATACCAGTCACTAGGACTAATTATTTCCATGAATTTTGGTTTTTCTTCATTCTTCTTTGCTCTGGACAAGGAGAGACCCATCATTGCATCTAGATGGCAGCTTGCTAGCTTTTAAGATCCCAGTTGCTACTTGCCAAAGTAGGAGGTGGAACAATGTTTTGTATAGTATGTTATGCCAACTGAGCTTGATGTCCCCTGCGACTATGGTCCCGAGCCCACAGGTTCAACTACTCAGTCCCTCTGAGTAGCTTGCTATGACCAAGCAGTGACCACAACCTTGCCCCTTGTCAGCTCTACTATTCGCCTGGGAATTCTGATCATTCACATAAACTTAAAGGACCATTGTCTGCCAACCCTATACATGTTCCTGGATATACTCCCCATTTCATAGACATACCTAATAGTTTAGCCTTTCTACCCATCTATCCACCCATATACCCATGTTTGCTTTCACTGACAATGCAGTACTGTATGCACTTGCCATCTTTTAAGATCCCAGTCATTATTTACCAAAGTAGGAGGTAGAACAATGTTTTTGTGTGGTATGTTATGCCATTTGAGCTTGATGTCCTGATTACTCTCTCTCTCAGGGTAGCTGGCTCTGACCAAGAAGCCACCACAACCTTGTCCTTTGTCAGCTCTGCTATACACCTGGCCATTCTTACAGCACATACAAATATGAATATGCTTGAATCTTAAAACATAGTACTGAGCAAAAGAATCCATGTACAAAAAGAAAACCAACTGTGTATCCCAAGTTCAAAAACAGGCAAAACTAAACTAGACTGTTTAGCAATGCATACATAGGTAGTAAAAACAGAAAAGCAAGGAGGAAATTTCCAGATATGTCAGAACAGTGGTTACCTTAAGCAGGGAGGGGTGTGTGATCAAAAGGAGCATCCAGGGGGCTTCTGGGTGTCTGCAATCTTTTCTATCTTGATCTGGGTGTTTCTTTGTGTGTGTCTGTTAAACCATATATACGTATATGCACTTTTCTGCGTGTATTCATGATGAAAGATGAACAAAGATTAAAATGTGAAAAAAAGAAAGCAAGCTGAAAAATCCCTCGGATGCTTGGTGTAGAGTGAACTGCCTCATTTGGGACCAAGAGTAGAGACTCTCATCTGCTTGGAGGAGGGAAGTGTGGAGGGATAGCTGCAGAAGGAGAAGCCCAAATTCAGTGCTGCTGTTAGAAGGGGTGTGTTGTGTTAGGGGTAGAGAGGACAAGGACAATTTGGGGAGCCAGGGAAAAGAAGGTGATGGGAGTGGATGGGGACGTGGAGCTAATATGGCTTGTTTAGACCCAGTAATACACAGTGTGCACCGTCACTAATTGTTGAACGAATATGAGTTGATAAGCCCAAAAAAGACAAGGAAGAAAGAGCCTAAAACTCCTGTTGTGACCCCTCTTCTCTTTCCCACCCCAGGGAATGCTCTCCCTGGTCCTGAATTGCATTGACCGCCTAAATGTCTACACTACTGCTGCCCACTTTGCTGAATTTGCAGGGGAGGAGGCAGCTGAGTCCTGGAAAGAGATTGTGAACCTGCTCTATGAACTCCTGGGTAAGTGTCCCCAGTCCTCACTCCCGCTAGAACACCCTAGATCCCCAGTCCTGTGGGGTCTGATCCCCTTGTCTACCCCTAGCCTCTCTGATCCGCGGCAACCGCTCCAACTGTGCCCTCTTCTCTACAAACTTGGACTGGCTGGTCAGCAAGCTTGATCGGCTAGAGGCCTCATCTGGTAAGAGATCCCAGGGATATTGGGACAGGGACTCGGGGAGGGAGGGCCACAGCCCCTCACCTCTCACCCTGGCATGTGCTTAGGGATCCTGGAGGTGTTGTACTGTGTCCTGATTGAGAGTCCCGAGGTCCTGAACATCATCCAGGAGAACCACATCAAGTCCATCATCTCCCTCTTGGACAAGCATGGGAGGAACCACAAGGTTGGCCCCCTCACCCCGATCTCTCATTCTGAGCTCTGAATTCCAACCTCTCCTCATGGCCCCAGATTCCCCTTACTCCCCTCCTCCTCATCTCTAACTTAGACTCTCCCAAGTTCTTCCATCTAAACACAAGGCTCTCAAACTCCTAACCCTTTACTTGATCCAGGGCCACTGATGTGATTTGTTAGGTCTTTGAAATGTTTTTTAAATTTCACATTTTATTGTCTTTTAGTAGGTTGCATATACACTCTCCAGTTTGCCAAGGTTCTGCCAGTTCTTATTGCATTATGTCTAACTACTTCACAGTTCACCTGGCCCCTGAAGACATGAGTTTGCAACCCTTGATGATCTCACATTTCATCCTGATCTCTGTGATGTCTCATGAAGGCTTTGATCTCCTACCTTGTCATCTAATCTCTCTTTTCTTACATCACTGATGCCTTATCCCAACCCATATGGCCACTCAGCCTCTCACAGATCTTTCTCTTTGACCTTTCCTGACTCCCACTTTTAAAACCTCTTCTCAGCCAAGGTCTCCATGTCCTATCCTGACACATCAGCCTTTCCTTTGGCTTCCCACCCTGGTCCTTCCATAGACCCCTGCCCTGGTACCCTCACACCCTACCTCTGGCCTTGACCTCAGGTCCTGGATGTGCTGTGTTCCCTGTGTGTGTGCAATGGTGTGGCCGTGCGTTCCAACCAAGATCTAATTACTGAGAACTTGCTCCCTGGCCGAGAGCTTCTGCTGCAGACCAACCTCATCAACTATGTTACCAGGTCTGGCCCCTAGCCCTAACCCCAACCCCAGGTTAACTCAGAACCTTTCAACCCTCTCCCTGACTCAGACTCCACACTTAGGTGGATGTCCTTCCATTGTCTTCCACTCCAGGAGTTAATACTCATCCTCACAGATGCCCACCCCTGTCCCAGTTCATCCCTGGCTCCCCACTCATTGCCTTTCTCCTTGGCACCATCTCTCCTGTATTCCCTCTCTTTCTTTCACTCTCTGTTTCTGTGTTTTTCTCTTTTTAACTTTGTCTGTTTTTCCTTCTCTCTGTTTATATTTATTTGCCTGTTTCTACTTCTCCTCCCTCTCTTATTCCTTCTCCTCTTCCATTTCTCTCTCCACCTTTCCTTCAGTGTCTGTCTTTCTCTGTTGATGCTCTGTTTTTCTCCATCGTTCTCTGTCTCCATGTCTTTGTCTCTGCTTTTCCTGTGTGTCTGTCTTTCTCTCTGTCTTCTGTTTCTCTCCCTCCCCCCCCCCAACTGGCTGTCCTCTCTCTCCCTCATCTCCCTCTCTTGTGCTTATCTTTCCTACAGCATCCGCCCCAACATCTTTGTGGGCCGAGCGGAGGGCTCCACACAGTATGGCAAATGGTACTTTGAAGTGATGGTAGATGAGGTGGTTCCATTTCTGACAGCTCAGGCCACCCACCTGCGGGTGGGCTGGGCCCTCACAGAGGGCTACAGCCCTTACCCCGGGGGAGGTGAAGGCTGGGGCGGCAACGGAGTGGGCGATGACCTCTATTCCTACGGCTTTGATGGGCTGCATCTATGGACAGGTATCTGAATCCTGACCTCTGGTCTGTGACCCACAAATTCAGAGGGCCCTCACCAGTGACCACTGACCCCAGAGTTACCAAGACTTAAACTAAACTCCTTGGGATTCTCAGGATCCTGACCCCAAAAGAGGCTGATTTTTTTACTCCTTTCTCCTCGTTTCCCAAGACCCTAACCCTAGAGTTTCCAGAGTCCTAGCTCCTACCTGTTTCCTCATAGTCTCCAGAACTCTGATCTCAGAGGATATAACATCTCTGGTTCTAGAGATTCCTAAAAACTTCCCCAGGTTATTATGACCTCTGATCTTTGACCCACAGCCCTCCCCTAGTCTCAGGGGAATCCTGACCTCTGTCCCTAATCTCAAAGTTATAAGCTCTTCCATGGGAACACGTGACCTTGGAGTTTCCAGGATCTGGTCTCCATAGGATCCTTATGTATCTGCCCCTTATCTTTTGAGATCATTGGTTCCATGAGACCTCTGACCTCTGACCCTCCCTGGTGACCTTGGTGCAGGACACGTGGCACGCCCAGTGACTTCTCCAGGGCAGCACCTCTTGGCCCCTGAAGATGTAGTCAGCTGCTGCCTGGACCTCAGTGTGCCGTCCATCTCCTTCCGCATCAATGGCTGTCCTGTGCAAGGCGTCTTTGAGGCCTTCAACCTTGATGGGCTCTTCTTCCCTGTTGTCAGCTTCTCGGCGGGTGTCAAGTGAGGACTTGTTGCTGGCCCATTGCCAACCCTGACTCTTGGGAGTGACAGGAGACAGCTTTCCTGGTCACACCATGAGCTCCTATGTGTTTTTACCTTCAGGATTCTCTGGTGGTCAGAACCCCTGTATGAAAGTCCCTGTGAACTCCACATAATTCCAGACCCTTTCAATGATATCAGATTCCACCCAACCCTGTGTCCTTCCAAGTGACCCCATAACTTCATATTGACCTTCTTCTGACCCCAGACTTTCCTAGTGACCTCCTAATTATCACTCACTCTTCCAGTGACTACTCTAATGATTTCCAAATGACTCCCCAGTCTGATAATCACAGACTCTCCTGGTGACTTCCACATATTCCAGATTCTTCCAGTATCTTCCCATTGACCTTGGACTATTCAATGACCAATGACCTCAAACTCTCCAAATGCCTCCATGCTCTTCCCATATCCTCTCAATGACCCCAGCATCTCCTACTGACCTTCTCATAAGCCCAGATTCCCAGTGACCACTCCAATGACCCCAGTTATTTTTAAAACCTATCAACGACCCAGTCCTTTCCCAGTGACCTCAAGCTCTCTGAATGAATTCTCAATCACTATTTGGGGGCAATTACGATTATCTCGTAATTATACCAGATGCTCAATGACCTCCAAATGACCTTCTTTTGGTTTCCAAAAAAAACTTTCAATATCCTTAAATTCTCTATTGACTCAAAGTCTCCTTCAAAAGACCTTCCCATGACTATCATGTCAATAATCTTAACACTTCTCCAAAAGCTACAGACCCTCCCACCCTGACTCCTCAAGAACACCACACTTTGCTTTTCAATCCTCTAGTAACTCTCATTGGGAGCTCTGGTGGTGTAGTGCTTAAGGCCCTTGACTGCTAACTAGAAAGCTGGCTGTTCGAACCCCCCAGCCATTCCTCGGAAGGAAGATTGGGAAATCTACTTCTGTAGTGATAATGCCTTGGAAACCCAAGGAAGGGTCACAATGAGTTGGATCCAACTCGACAGCAGTGAGTTTTTTGAGTTTAATGACTCTCATTGGCCTCAGACATTCCCTAGACTTTTCTTTCTGACTCCTAAGTGACCGCTGTGACCTTATGACTGCCCAGTCACCTCAGGTCTTTCCAGGACTTTCCATAGCAATCCACAGGATTGCTCCCTTTTCCTCAGTAACTACAGATTGTTGTATAACCTTCCTTTCTCCTAATGATTCCTGTTTCTCTCCCAGGGTGCGGTTCCTCCTTGGTGGCCGCCATGGTGAATTCAAGTTCCTCCCCCCACCTGGGTATGCCCCATGTCATGAGGCTGTGCTCCCACGAGAACGACTCCATCTTGAACCTATCAAGGAATATCGACGGGAGGGACCTCGGGGCCCCCACCTGGTGGGCCCCAGCCGCTGCCTCTCACATACCGACTTTGTGCCCTGCCCTGTGGACACCGTCCAGGTACTCTTCTGTGAGGGTTTCCTGGTGAGGCAGGCCTCTTAGAGGTCAGCAAGGTGGGGAGCTGAGATGGAAGCTGAGTATCTTGCTGTTTAACAGATGGAGAATTTTTTTTTTTTTTTAAATTGTGCTTTAGGTGCAAGTTTACAGAGCAGAGTTTGTTTTACATTCAACATTTCATGTACATTTGGTTTCACTCCCCAATTACCATTCCTAACCCTAACCCACTCTCCTCCCCTCCCTTCCCAGTAACCGCCCCCATGCCCCTCATAGTTATGCACTCCTGTGTGTCCTGCATTTTCTCTGCGTGAATGTTGCCCTTCTGGGGCCCTGTGGTCGATTGCTCCAAGGGATGTATCTCCGTAGAGTATGTGGGTGTACCACTCTGGGTTGAGTGGTCTGCATGTACATCTTATTTACTATTGGGCTGAAAGCCAGCTCCTGGGAGTGCGTTTTACTCCAGGCTTGAAGTGTATCCCAGGGGCATAGTCTTGGGTGTCCTATCAGACCAATAATTCTGGTCATTATTGTGTTTCTGGATTTTGTTCCATGGTTTCCTCCCACTCTATCCAGGATCTCCAGTTTTGATCCTTTCCTAAGTGGTTGGCATTGGTAGCCAGGTACCATATAATTCTTCTGGACTCAAGGTCCATCACATCCTAGGGCTGATTGCTTCTAAATGCCCTTGGTTTTATGCGTTATTCTTTACTTCTGATGATAGGACACCATTAGCTGCATCTTAGATGGCTGCTTGAAAGCTTTGAAGACCCCAGTCGCTACTCACCAATGTAGGTTGTGGAACAAGATTTTTCTGTATTTTGTTGTGCCAGTTGAGTCTATTGTCATATGGAGAAATCGAGTCACAGAGGAGGCAAAGATTTTCCCAAGGTTACATATGCAGAATCTGAATTTCAGGGAGTCATCACTGTAGCCCCATAAAAAAGAGACTATTACTGCCCTTAATTTACAGTTGAAGAAAACAAGGCTCAGAGAAGTTTTGCAGCCTGTGCAAGTCATACAGGGACTGTGACCCCAGCATCTGATCCCAAGTCCCATGATCTTACCCACTACACTATGAACGTATTTCTTGGATATCTCTTCTATCCCAGGCCTCTCACACTCCTCATATCCCACTTTCCTTCATATCCTTGTATCCACTTTCCTTCCCTTATGTTGTTGTTGTTGTTATGTGCCGTCAAGTCAGCCCCGACTCATAGCGACCCCTTCCCTCATAGGAGGGAATAAAATGTGTTTAAGATCTTGACGTAGGGGTTTGATTTTCAGCTTTGTGACCTTGGGGACATGAATTCACCTGTCTACCTCAGTTTCCTCATCTGTGAAGAGGGAGATATGGTGGCATAGGGCCTAAGGCATTTGACTGCTAATCAGAAGGCTGTGGTTCAAACCCACCAGCCATTCCTTTGAAGGAAGACTGGGCAATCTACTACCATGGAGATAACGCCTCGGAAACCGAAGGAGGGGTCACTATGAGCCAGAATCAACTTGACACCAAATAGTGTTATTGTGAAGATTACATGAATTAATACATGCAAAGAACTGAGCACAGTCCTGAGCAAATAGTAAGCATTTGATCCAGTTACTACTTCTTATTATAATTACTAATATTATCTCAGAGTGACCTTGCCATCCCCTCTTTGCAGGCCAAAACCCTTGTCCTGGATGCTTCCCACCCCCACCCCAAACTTGTTAGCCTCAGGGCCTGTCCACTTGACCTCCTGGAGATCCCTACTACCCCCCTTCTTTTCTTCTCATGCATGGCTGCCCTCGTATGGGCCATCATTATCTTTCACCTATAGAACTCTAACACGAATTATGGATAGCATTGAGAAGAATGAGAATTAAAGAACACTTAATGTGCTCACGAGGATCCTGTACATAGACCAAGAGGCAGTTATTCGAACAGAACAAGAGGACACTGCGTGGTTTTAAATCAGGAACGGTATGTGTCAAGGTTGCATCCTTTCACCATACTTATTCAATCTGTATGCCAAACTAATAATCCAAGAAGCTGGACTATATGAAGAATGGGTCATCAAGATTGGAGGAAGACTCATTAACAACCTGTGATATGCAGACGATTCAACCTTGCTTACTGAAAGTGAAGATGACTTGAAGCACTTACTGATGAAGATCAATGACTACAGTCTTCACTGTGGTTTACACCTCAAAATAAAGAAAACAAAAATCCTCACAACTGGACCAATAAGCAACATCATGATGAATGGAGAAAAGACTGAAGTTGTCAAGGATTTCATTCTACTTAGATCTGTAATCAACACCCATGGAAGCAGCAGTGAAAAATCAGATGATGTATTGCACTGGAAAGATCTGCTGTAAAAGACCTCTTTAAAGAGCAAATATGTCACTTTGAAGACTTTGGTGCACCTGACCCAAGCTATGGTACTTCCAATCACCTCATATGCATGTAAAAGCTGGACAATGAATAAACACTGAAGAAGAATTGATGCATTTGAATTGTGGTGTTGGCAAAGAATATTGAATATATGGACTGCCAGAAGAACAAACAAATCTGTCTTGGATAAAGTACAGCCAGAAAGCTCTTTAGAAGCAAAGATGGCTAGATTCACCTTTGCTTTGGTCCTGTTGTTAGGAGGGGGCTCAAGCATAGTGATTGTGAGAATGATGCAGGACCAGGCAGTGTTTCACGCTCTTGTCCACAGGGTTGCTATGAGTTGGAACTGACTCAACAGCCCCTAACAACAACTACCACATATAACATTTAGTATTTTATATAAATGATTTCATGGAATTCTAATGGGAGATGTGTGATGAGTTGTTTTGTTATGATTTTCTTTGTACAGAAAAGGGAAGGCACTCATTCATTCATTCATTCAGTAGATGTTTCCTGAGCATCTCCTCTGGGCCTTACCTGGGCTGGGCAGGGCTGGGGGCATGGTGAAGACTGAGGTAGCTCCAGGCCCTGCCTTCATGGGCCTCCCACTCCAGTGGGGGAGATAGTCTTGTCCCTAGATTATTCTAATTCTGATCATGCTAAATCCTTGCTCAGCTGGGCATCAATCCTGAAGTCTAGGTGAGGTGACAGGAAGCAGGGCTGTGGAATGTCAGGAAAGGTCCAAAGGGAGTCTGGGACAACCTGTCTGGAGCTCACACATGTTCTTGGGAGGGGAGTCATAGGGCCAGGGTGGAGGGCTCTTGGGGACCTCGTGAATGTTTCCCTGTCCCCAGATCGTCCTGCCTCCCCATTTGGAACGCATTCGGGAGAAGCTGGCAGAGAACATCCATGAGCTCTGGGCACTGACTCGCATTGAGCAGGGCTGGACCTATGGCCCGGTGAGGAGCTGCCTGCAGCATAAGGGAGTCAGGCTGGACTCAAGGAAGCATGAAAATGGCTCCCCGGAAGGGAGGGGCAAGTGGCTGGGGGAGGGGGTTTAGGGCACCAGGGGTTGCCTGGGTTGGGTCAAGGGTCACAGTGTGGGAGTGTTGGGCAGGAACCCGAGGAGTTGACTTTGGGATTTCTTCAGGTTCGGGATGACAATAAGAGGCTGCACCCGTGTCTTGTGGACTTCCATAGCCTCCCAGAGCCTGAAAGGAATTACAACCTGCAGATGTCCGGAGAGACACTCAAGTGAGAGCAGTACAGGGAGCCAGGGGTGGGGGCTGACTGCTGGGTGAGGGCCAGGGAGATGGAATAGAAGACAGAATGAGAGGAAGTAAGAGAGAGAGAGAGGGATTATGGGACAGAGAAATGTGAGAGAGAGGTAGAAAGAGACCATCAGGAAGAGAAGGGCAGAGTGGAGAAGAGACACTGACAAGGAGACAGAAAAATGACACACATGGTCAGAGAGATACAGAGACAAAGAAACAGGGTGATAGGCCTCAGAAAGTCAGAGACCAAGGTGGAGAGAGATGGGGTCAAAGACGGCCAGAAGTCCAGGGCAAGAGGCGGAGAGGGCTCGAGAGCCAGAGCCAGAGATGACAGTGGGTGTGAGGAGGAGGAAGGAGCCAGGGCTAGGGAGGTTCTTGTGGTCTAACCCTGCCTTGCCTCTCCTGCCCCAGGACCTTGCTGGCGCTGGGCTGCCACGTGGGCATGGCAGACGAGAAGGCAGAGGACAACCTGAAGAAGACAAAACTCCCCAAGACGTGAGTGTGGGTGGCCTGGGGAATAGCAGGGGCTGGGGATGCTGTGGTGAGGGTTGGGAAGAGAGAGGGGTCTCATGGGGAGGCCACGGTCAGACACAAAGGGGCCATGGGTTAGTGTGTAGATCACAGAGACAAGGCTTTGGGGTCAGAGGTGAGTGTCCTTGGGAGGGATTCAAGATTGAGGAGTTAGAAGTCCCAGAAAGATTAGGGGTAAATCTAGGATTCAAAGATAGGTTCGACCATGGAGCCATGCAAAATGAGAAAGTGAGGTGATAGCTCCAAGTTAGGTCATTGCTAAGAGGTGGGCATTTAGAGGTTGCTGGAGTTGTCAGTAAGGATCCTCAAGTTATAGGTGAGAGATCAGAGGTCCTGGAATTATAGGCCAGGACTCAGAAGTCAGGGACCCCAAAGCCAGGAGAAACTGCAACGTCAGAGGTGAGGAGTCAGTTTCAAGGTCTGAGATAAGGCTCCCAAAGTCAAGGTGAAGGATTCACAGAGGCTAGAGGTCAGTGAGGGAGTTCTGGTAACATAGTGCCTAAAGCACTTGACTGTTAACCAGAAGGCTGGCGGTTCAAACCCACCAGCCACTCCTTGGAAGGAAGGTTGGTCAACCTACTTCTGTAGTGATACTGCCTCAGAAACCCAAGGAGGGGTCGTTACGAGTCGGGTCCAACTCAACGGCACATAACAACAACAACAGAGGTCAGTGATGTCACAGGATCCTGGGAATTTCAAAGCTTATCCCAGAGAGTCGTAGAGCTCTGGTATCGGAGACCAGAGGTCAGATTTTCCAAAGCTCAGGGCTGAGGACCATGGGATCCTGGGGTCAAGGATCAGGAGTGAGGGATCCCATGGCACGTGGACTGTGCTGACAGGGAGGTGAGGGTGTAACTGAGCAGGCTGCATGGTGCCTGCAGGTACATGATGAGCAATGGGTACAAGCCGGCTCCTCTAGACCTGAGCCACGTGCGGCTGACGCCAGCGCAGACGACACTGGTGGATCGGCTGGCAGAGAATGGGCACAATGTGTGGGCACGAGACCGCGTGGCTCAGGGCTGGAGCTACAGCGCCGTGCAGGACATCCCCGCACGCCGAAACCCTCGCCTCGTGCCCTACCGCCTGCTGGACGAGGCCACCAAGCGCAGCAACCGGGACAGCCTGTGCCAGGCCGTGCGCACCCTGCTGGGCTATGGCTACAACATCGAGCCACCTGACCAGGAACCCAGTGAGGACTGACCCCGGCCCCTGACCTGACCTTGACCCTACTCAGCCCCTAACTGAGCTGTGGCTACAACATTGAGTCACCTGTCCAGGAGCCCAGTGAGCGCTGATTCCTGCCCTCTAACCCTGATTCCACCTCTGACCCTGGTGTTGACCTAGACCTCTGACCCTAATCCTGACCCCTAACACCCCTGACTGGGCTACTCTAAGACATCAAGCAGACTGATCAGGAAGTCAGTGAATACTAACCCCCTCCAACTCTGGCCCTTACCCTGATCTGAACCTGACCCACCTGCCTCAGTCCTGGTTGGGCTGCAGCTATAACATCAAGCCACTTAATAGCTCAGTGGGCTGAATCCCAGCCCCTGACCCAGATACCTGACCCTGAGCTTTGACCCTTAACCCCTAACCTCTCCTGAGCTACAGCTACAATAAGGAGTGACCCAACCAGGGGCTCAGAGAGCCTCTAACCCCCCAACCCCAAACCCAACCCCTGCCCTAGCTACAACCTCCAATCCTAGCCTGAGGCCCTAACCCTGACTCTGGTCTCCAACCTTCAATCCCTGGCCCCACCGTCAATTTCTACTTCTTCATTGACCCTGACTTTTATCTCCCAATCCTACTTTCAACCTTTGATTTGAAAAAACAACCCTAATCTTGACCTTTAACCCCAGATCATGCCAGTGACCGGTTCACTGCACCAATGTCTCTGTCTGTGTCACTGTCACTGTCTCTGTTCTCTGAGAGCTCTGACTGCTAAAGGGAAGTCACTAGGTTCTTCAACCTTCTCCGACTATGATTCCCCAATTTTTGTCTAATACTGAAAAATTGTTCCTCTTCCCCCAAGTCTCCAAGACCCTTGCCTTCTCTGGTCCCTCCCATCAGCCTCTTGATGTCTTGGGATCAGTCCCCACTCAGTTTCTCAGACTCTGCCTGGCCCCATTCGTAGGTCTGGTGGAGAGCCAGTCTCGTTGGGATCGAGTGCGCATCTTCCGGGCAGAGCGATCCTATGCAGTGCAGAGTGGCCGCTGGTACTTCGAGTTTGAGGCTGTCACCACGGGCGAGATGCGAGTGGGCTGGGCCAGGCCCGAGCTGCGGCCTGATGTTGAGCTGGGAGCTGACGAGCTGGCCTATGTCTTCAATGGGCACCGCGTGGGTACTTCCCTGGGCTCCACTCTGCCAGCCCTTTGGTCTCCAGTGCAGTCCAGCCTTACCTTCAGCTGTGCTGCATTCTGGCTACCCATACCTGCGTCTACTTGACCACTTACTTAGTTTTTAGAATTAAGGGCATGATCTTTTCTTAAGAAATCATTTATTTTATTTTATTGTTATTGTTGAGAATGTACTGAGCAGAATATGCATCAATTCAACAATTTCTACATGTATAATTCAGTCACATTGATTACATTCCTCAAGTTATACAACCATTGTCATCCTCATTTTCCAAATTCTTCCTCTCCCGTTAACATGAACTCACTGCCCCTTGAGGTTCCTATCTGTTCTTTCCGGGTCCTGTTGTCAGTTTGATCCCAAATAGATAGACCTTAAGAGAGCATGATACTCAGGGAAGAAGTTCCTTCTAGTTAAGCTAAGTGATTGTTTGGTTTGAAGAAGACGTCAGGGGGTATTTTTGGTTTAAAGTTTAAAGGTTATCTCAGGGTAATAGTTTCAGGGGTTCATCCAGCCCTCATGGTGCCAGAAAGTCTGGAGTCCGTGAGAATTTAAAATTCAGTTCTGCGCTTTCTCCCTTTTGATCAGGGTTCTTCTATGGAATCTTTGACCAAAACATTCAGTAAATGGTAGCCAGGCACCATCCAGTTCTTCTGGTCTTATAGCAAAGAAGGGTCATGGAGACAACTGGCACACATTCCATTTCCTTCTCCTATTCCTCACTTTCCTCTGCTGCTCACGGCAATTAGAGACCAATTGTTATACCTTGGATAGACATTTGGAAGCTTTTAAGACCCCAGACATTGTGCAACAAGTAGGAGATAGAACAGAAGCACTAAACACATTAGGAGCTCTGGTAGCATAGTGCCTAAGGCTCTTGACTGCTAACCAGAAGGCTGACAGTTCAAACCCACCAGCCACTCCTCGGAAGGAAGATGGGGCAATCTACTTCCGCAGTGATACTATCTTGGAAACCCAAGGAGGGGTCGCTATGAGTCGGGTCCGACTCGACAGCACATAACAACAACAACAAACACGTTATTAGGCCACTTACTTGGGATGTCCCATGAAAATATGACCTTAGACCTCGAAACCAAGAAACCATACCATGATGTTGTACATAAGCTACCTTACCACGTATTCACATCTCACACCCACCCAACCATTTTTCCCTCTCTCCCTGTCCATGTGTATATCACTCATCTAGCTATCCACTTGTCCATTCATCTATCCACAAATCCATATAATCATCCACCCAGCCACTCATCTGCTCATCCATCCAGATAATCACTCAGCCACCCACTTTTGCATGTATGTATCTGTTTATGTTCATCCATCTACTTGTTAAATTTATTTGTGGTTTTATTTATCTAGTCATTCAGCTACACAATAATTTACTGCATTACCCACTGATTCATTTTTCCACTCATCCATGCATCTGTTTGTCTATCTGTATATCAACTTACACTTTCTTCCTTCCCTGAATTTACCCATGTTTTCTCCACTCATTCTTTTCATTCATTCTTCCATCTACAATACATCCAACTTCCTATCCATCCATCTCATTATCCACCAGTCTATTTGGGAGCAATATATGATGAACATGGGGGACATTGATAGGTTCATTTTTCCTTTCCATCCCCTACTTGCTGCTGCCTCCAGCCTCCCACTACCACTTTGGTGGTCTGTATAACCCCCGCTGTGGAAAGAGCAGAGAAACCAGACCCAGGTAGAAGGGATGAGATACAGAGACCGTGAAAGCCCTTCCCTTAAAACCAAAGATCGTGGATGCGAGTGTGGGGAGAGATGTGGGGTGACCGCTCCTCTGTTCCATATGCCCTGGATCTGATGTTGTGCATACGTATTTCACCCATGTCTCGCCCCCTGCTTCTGTGTCTCTGTTTCTCTGTGTGTTTCTCCGTGCACTGTGTCTCCCCGGGGCCTCCTCATAGGGCCAGCGCTGGCACTTGGGCAGTGAACTGTTTGGGCGTCCCTGGCAACCTGGTGATGTGGTTGGCTGCATGATCGACCTCTCAGAGAACAACATTATCTTCACCCTCAATGGCGAGATCCTCATGTCTGACTCTGGCTCCGAAACTGCCTTCCGGGATATTGAGATCAGAGATGGTGAGGCCTGGCCCTGTGGTGCCAAGACCCATTCATGTGCCCTTTCTAGTTTTCCTCCATCTCTCCTGATCTTATACCGACCCCCCCCAGCCCTGCATGTTTCCATGTCTCCCTCCCACAGTGACCCTCCCCACACCTTCTTTCTCTACCCACCTTCTTCCCTCATCCTTATCTATCCCTCCCACCAGGCTTCCTGCCCGTCTGCAGCTTGGGACCTGGCCAGGTGGGTCACCTGAACCTGGGCCAGGACGTGAGCTCCCTGAGGTTCTTTACCATCTGCGGCCTCCAGGAAGGATTTGAACCCTTTGCCATCAACATGCAGCGCCCAGTCACCACCTGGTTCAGCAAAAGCCTCCCCCAATTTCAGGCTGTGCCCCCTGAGCATCCCCACTATGAGGTGAGAATCACCCCCTACTCAACACTCTCTGATCTCCCTCCAAACGTCTCTCTTCCCACAGTTCTCTTCCATGAGTTTCTCCTTTCCTTCCATGTGAACATACACACCACATAGCAGGGGATGTCAGGGGAATGGGCTCCTAGGGGTTCCTTTTGGGGTATAGCTTTGGTAAACTACCACCTTTCTGAGCTCCAGGTTCTTCAGCTATAAAATAGGGAAAGGGAGAAAAGAGAGGCTGGATTAAATGGCCCCAGTGGAACACATGGAGTTGTCATGAGTTGGGATTGACTCAGCAGCAATGGGTTGGTTTTTTTCTTTATAGAGTTGTTGAGAGGATTCAATGAGATGATACCTGTAAAGTCTCTCAACAGTGCTTGTTACGGAATAAGTACTGGATGAGGGTTAACTATTAATATTATAAACTGACAAGTGCAGTGAGGAAGCCACACAGGACATCATGAATGTGTGTAATAGGGGACAACCCTGGTCTGAGGAACCAGAGGAGGGGGCTTCTCTGTGGAAGAGACGTTGGAAGCCAGAAAGGTAAGTAAGTAGGTGTCACCAGGCAAAAGGGTGGGAGGCTAGCTTTCCTGACAGGAGGAAGAACCTTGTGGAGGCCCTGGAGTGGGAAGGAGAAGATGAGTGAATCCATGGACTGGAGGGACCAGTGTGGCTGGAGAATAGTGAGTGTGAGGGAGAGTGGGAGGAAAGAGGTGTGAGCGTCCACAAAGGGCCAGGCTCTGAGGAGCCTCCTGGGGGCAAATTCGTCTTAGGGGTGATGATATGCTATGGAGATGTTGTGTTCATCTTAGGGGTGATGATATGGTATGGAGATGTTGGGTCCCCCCCCAGTTTTATAAATAACTTTAAATTTTAATACAATTTATTTATTTATTTATTCAACTTGGAAAAAAAACAGGGAAAAGCTTTTTATTAGTTTGGATACACTTTTTATTTTTATTGTGGTTTGGGTGAAAGTTTACAGAGCAAATTCATTTTTCATACAGCAGTTCATACACATTTTGTTTCATGACATTGACTGCGATTCCCCACAGTGTAATGGCTAAATTTTAATACAATTTAAAACTTACAGAGAAGTTACAAAAATAGTACAAGGAACTCCCCTATGTCCTTTACCCAGATTTATCCATTGTTTACATTTTGTCCTATTCACTTTATCATTTTCTGATATATGTTGTTGTTGTTATGTACCGTGGAGTCACACCTGACTCATAGTATATCTATATCTATATCTATATCTATATCTATACCTATATCTATATCTATACCTATATCTATATATATCTGAGAGATATATATGAGATATATATGTTGTTGGTGTTGTTATGTGCCGTCAAGTCAGACCTGACTCATAGAGACCCTTCCTTGGGTTTCCGAGACACTATCACTACGGAAGTAGATTGCCCCATCTTCCTTCCAAGGAG